TCTACTGAATTGGAAATCAAAATGGAAAACTTAAGAGAGGAATACATAAGCCCATATTCCAATAGCTAATAGGGTAGTGACATCATAATACATCATAAAACCTCTGGAAAATTCCACCATTCATTCCTGAGAGCATGAGAGTGAAAAGGGTAAATAACAGCCCTTTTCAAAAAGTGAAAAAGCAATTCTACTTTTGAGGACCCCTATAGTGTCCTCTGGGATATATGAGAATCTCTTAGACCTCCCTTTGAGAACAGTTGCTTATACTTACTTGTGCTGGCTTGATGTTAAGAAATTTCCAAATGATCACATGGAACATTACAAATTTTGTCCAGCAAAGGAGTTGCCCTTCTAGTAAAATTTTGCTTTTATATTTAAAGATTATACATAATGTTTTCATCATTTGTTCCTTAATAATTGTAAGGGTAATCAATGTAGAAGAAGAAATTTCCATTTCAACATATCTGTATGTTTATATCATAAAGAAGTATTAGAGTGATTAGTCAGTGACTTTCTAGCACACATACCAATGCTAGAAATGCTGCAGGTGACGTAGAAAAGTCCCAAGGGCGAACTTGGGGCTGCTGGGGGAGCATCTTTGAGTGGGTGAGAAGGTCCCACCCCTGTAGTGTGTATATTGTAGTGTGTATATAGTGTGCATATTGCATAGAACCCTTGAAAAAGGAGTTTCACTTTAAAATGTCAGCACATTCAGGACACCTGAAATTATATTTTGGTAGAGATTAAATTGCAAGAACAAAACAAGACAAAAAAGAAAAAAATTTTATTTAGCTACAAACCTCAAAATGAAAGGTTAAGAAATACCCTAATGTCAGGTATTCACAGGTATCCTCTTATAGATATGACTAGTGAGGTTGAGACAAATACTCCTCTTGGGTGAAATAAATATTTTCAAAGTCATCACACAGACTGGTAGCAATTTCATCGTTCACTCAAGGGAGGTGACCAAGATGTGAGAAGGCTTCTCCCTGACATTTTACTTTGTTAGCACTTGGGCTGAGCAAGCCAGTCTTAGTCAAGCCATCAAGTATAGGAATTTCCTCCTGTCTCAGGGAAATGCTCCTCCTCTTGGAAGACTAAGTGAAGTGTCTGTGACATTATTATTATTTTTTAATTATATATATATATATATTATATATATATATATATGTTTTACATCATTTTTCATTCTTGCACAATGTATGCTTTTTTCCTCTCATGTGTAGTCCTCGTGAAATTCCCACCACCCAGTTCACCCATCACCATAGTCCCTTATGCCCTTCCCACCCCTGTTTTGATCCTTCCCCTTCTGCCTCCCCTGCAAAATGTCTCTGATTTATAGTTATCTGTTGTTTTGGATTTTTAATTTATTAGAATTACTTACTCCACCCCTGATCCTTGATTTGTTTCCTCTACATTCCTCCTATAAGTGAAACCGTTGGATATTTTCTGTTTTCCTTCTGTTTTATTTCACTGAACATGACCCCTTCCAGCTCCATCATGCTGCTGTGAAGGGCATGAGTTTATCTTTTTTGATTGCTGAGTAATAGTCCATTGTGTATATACACACATCTTCTTGATCCAGTCATCTATTATTATTATTTTTTTTGTTACATTCTTTGAAAGTAATACAGGTTACTACTGAATTATAGCACAGGTGCACAGTTCTATTTTTCTCTCAGGTAGCTATAGCTAGACAGCAAAATTCAGACACCAAGACAAACTTATACCTGTGTGGGAAAGAATAAAACACTGTCAGCTCAGACTATTTTTCTGCGCACATCCAGTCCCCCAGGAGAAGCACTAACAAAATTTGGATCAGATTGTGTTTCTTTCTAGAATGTCTCCCAGATGCGATCCTCTGGCCACGTGGCCCAGCCTCCTTGTGGCATTTACCAGCTGGCACTCACATGACTCGCTTCCTTGCTGATGCCTGGCTGGGCTGCCCTTAGCAGCCAGCTCCTCCTGACTTTTCAAATATTTAACTGCTCTGTTAATGACAAGTTTTGCATTTTAAAAACATCAGATGGAAAATTTCCTACTCAAGTAGATGGGTGGAGAAAACATAACATATTTTTCAGGCAAGAAAGAAACAGTGGCATATTTTCAAGAATTTTATCTTTCTCCAGTATGTGATGGGAACCGCACACCAGAGGATGCTCATGTTTGCCGGGTTTGCATGTTTCCAGTTTGCAACTAGATGGTATATGTGGTTGCACCTTCTTAAAAATAAACTTTTCTAAAATTTCAGAATAGTTTTAAGTTTACAGAAAAACTGTGGAGAAAGTACAGAGAATCCTATAACCCCACCTCCACTTTCTCCTATTAATAACATCTTATCTTACGGGGATTACAACCTGAAGGGAGAAATCAAACATTGTACAAAAATGAAAAAGATATAAACATACATATATATTTAAAATAAAGTAAAATAAATTATAAGAAGAAAAAATCTTTTTCAAGTCCATATTGTATTCATATTTTCTTAGTATTTACCTAATACCCTTTTACAGTTCCACGATTTCACCCTGGATTTAGTTGTCATGTTTTCTTAAGTTTCTCTTGGTTGTGACAATTTTTCAAACTTTCTTTGTTTATAATGACCTCGTCAGTTTGAGAAGTACAGATTAGGCTTTTTCCAGAATGCCCCACAACTGGGCCTGTGTGATGTTTTTCTCATGGGTAGACTTGGGATATATGTTTTGGGGGGGAAGAAGGAAGAGAGAAAGTGCCATTTTCGTTCATCACATCATATCAACGGTACATTCTGCCAACATGATTTACCCCTGTTGGTAAATCTGTTGATCATCTGGTTGAGGTAGTGATTGTCAGTATCTCCACTCTACAGTTGTCCTTTCCCCCTTCCTATCCAATTTGGAAGAAAGTCACTACGTGCAGCTCATGACACAGCTCATGACGCAGGAGTTGAGAAGTGTGCTCCATTTCCTTCAAGGCAGAACATCCATGTATTTATTTGGAATTCTGGGCAGCTATGTCTGTTCTCCCCCATGTATTTATTCATCATTTATAGCAGTACAGACTTCTGGATATTTATTTATATTTTGGGTTATAATCCAATGCTACTTCATTTATTTTCTTACTCAATTATTCCAGCATCAGCCATTAGAAATTTTCAATCTGCTCCTGTGTCTCTTTGCTTTGTCCTATCTTTGTGTGTGTGCGCGTTGCCCCCCCATCTGTGTGTGTGTATGTTATGCTTTTTGTGTTGTGTTTTGCTCCAGGCTCATCGTTCATGCTCCCTGCCCTAATCTAAGAATCAGCTATTTCTCTAAGTGCTCTGGTCCTTTTATTGGAGAATGGTACCATAAATCAACATCTGGATTATCTCTACTCAAAATAAATGAATCAACGACATATATGTACATAAAGATCTCGTCAAACCTCTGAAATGATAAAATTTTCTTCACTTAGCACTAGTGTCTCTTTGAGCAATAATAACATCCTATGTGTTATATGTGAATTGACCTATTTTTACTACTGTAAATGGATTCATTATAAGTTTTCATCATCTGAAAACTAAACTGTGACTTTTATCCTTCTATTTCTGGTATTTTGAACTGTCTATAGTGTGTGACACAGTATATCCCAGGAGACTAAACAGCAGAGGCTTAGGTCGGCTTCAGAACCTACTTTTCTTAATATTGAGACCAGCAGGTCCCCTACCTCCTCGCAGAAGTTTAAGAATCTGAATGATACCTATTTGCTACCTACCATCTCAGCAAAAAACAAACAAACAAACAAACAAAAATTCATATAAATAAATGGATAAATCAATAAAGGATTTGTATGAAGAACAGCAGCTATTTCGATCCATGGTCGTCACGCCTGGTACCTAAGGCTTATTAATACGGAGGTTTGTTTTCCAAACACCAGCACACTTTAAAAATTAACTTTGCATTATGCCTGGAAACCACAACTCCAGAATGAAAGAGTGGAGAGGCAGCAGCAGGACTCTCTGCAGCCAGCCTCATGGTCTCCTTCCTTCCCAGGACTGACCGAGACAGCCATCTTCAGCTGTGAGGCCCACAATGACAAGGGGCTGACCGTGTCCGGGGGCGTGCAGATCAACATCAAAGGTGAGCAGCAGAGCTGGGTCCTTTGCTCACGTTCTGGGAGCTGGTGGGGGGCTGCAGCCTGAGCTCAGCTGCCAGCTGTCTGCGTGTCAGTCCTGGCAGCCCACTGACTTCCTTTGTGACCTTGGATGTGTAGCTTAACCTTTTTTGGCTTCAATTCTGGCCTTTGTAAATGAGGATAATTACAGAATTACCAGTCCTTGAAGCTTTAGGGAGATAAGGAAAATAAAGGATAAAGGCACTCAGAACTTGCCTAGCACATGTCTTTGGTGAACATCATCTAGTTTAATTCTACTTGGTCTGAGAAGAAAAAGATCTTTGGGAAAGGAAGAGCAGGTCAAAGACATTCTCATCCCAGGTCCCCTGCTCCCATCCCTCCTTCTTGTAACCTCCCTCGCCTTGCTTTCTCCAAAGTGGGCTATCACACACTGTAAGGCAAGTGTTTGGAGGTTCCCCAGGCAAGTGGAGATATTCTTCTACGGGGTCAAAGGTATTTAATTCTAAGACTTGAAAGAAAAGGAAAAACTGAAAAGAAATATCTTTTTTTTTTTAAAGATTTATTTATTTGTGCATACAGAACTGGGGTACAGGCCAGAGGCTCAGGGCCAGTGAGAGGCTTCACCAGAGACAGAGTGGGGAGCAGAACAAGCAGATCGACGAAGTACACTGCTGAGGGGAGCAGCGGGCAGGTCAGGAGAGGTCTGCCGCACCATGTGGTCACCTCATGCGGAAGTGGTCTCAGCTTCTTAGTGCAGTGCTTTAACCTGCTGTGCCACCAGGAGGGCCCGAAATATTATCTTTTTAATCCCTTTCAAATCATCTTCTTTTCCCATCTCATAGAAATTCAAGATAAAATATTTTTTATCTGTTAGTATTTGTTCTTAATTCAGATATTGAGAAGCAAATATCAAAGCACATTCCTTGTTATCTTATTTTGGGGGCAACACTACAAGAGAAAAAGCAGAACAAATTTAATAATGAACTAAAGGTTGAGTAATATATGATAAGGGTCTCAAAATTACAGAAGTTATTGATGTATAGTTTTAGCAGATCATACCCTTTTAGATAAAAGGGTATGAAAGGGCATTTTCTAAAAGTTCATTGGAAAAATTATGAGTAAGTGAAGTTATTACTAGAGGAACTATACAACTTCCTTCCTTCATTAGTAATCCCATTATTACTACTTTCAAATGAAATGTTGGGAATTTCAGGCATCCACAAGTGGGCGTAAATTTAGAAAGACATTTCCATAAAGAATAAACATCTTAACATTTCAAAATCTATAAAGTCAGATGCACTTCTTTAATTTTATGCTTCACAAGGAATCTTAGCTAAGTTTTTTTGTAACAAATTTATTTCCAAAACATGCTGTGACTTTCACTTTATATCCAATCAACCAAGATCCTTTTCTTCTAATGTGTTATTAACTAGAGTATATGTGGTCAAATTTTGATCTGGAAAGGTAGATATTTTAAAGTCTCTTCTACAAATAAGATCTTTAGGGAAGTGAATTAAACAAAATGCTTATTCCTTCCCATTTACCAAGCAATGTGTCTCCTAGTAAAACCGAAACTTCTAAACACAGTAGCCAGGGAGTGCGTAATATGGTCCTGGTTTCCCTCCCCTTACCTATCCTGCACCACCACACCTCCACATGTTACATATTTAATCCTGCCTGCTGCCCCTCAGAACAGTGCTATTATTATCCTCATTAATAGAAGAGGGAACTGGATTTGGAGAGCAGTAACTATGCCTGGTGACCAGATAGCCGCCCCCAGTCAAACTCCAGTGTCCTGTTGAGGGACAAGCTCTGGAATCAGAAAAACTGAGTTTACCCCCATTCATGGATAGGTCACCATTAATGCTTAAATGAAGTCCATAAAGTGCTAGCACATCATAAGCACACAAAAATGATAGTCATTATTTTTGAATATGTGTGAACATTACTATTTAGTGAGAATTAAATTAGCACCAGAAAATAAATTCCCCAAACTTCAGATCTTAGATCCCAGTTGAAATATTTGTCCTCACCCCCTATGTAGCCAAGGCCATCACACACTCTTTATAGTAGACCCACCCACCCCCAAAGCACTTTCAGTTGGTTCCTTGACATGAGCTAACTTTTACCTGTTTGCTAAACCTGGAAGGTTATGCACACACATGCAGGTGTTTTCTCCTGCTCTTATCAGTATAACTCACACTTAATCTAGGTCTCCCCCACTCAGCCATTCACTCAGAGCTCCAAAAGGGCAGAACCAAAACTTTCTGCTCCCCATTTGCAGCACTAGCACAAAGCAAGGTACACACATTAGCGCCGTGAACAGGAGCTCAGGGGAAGGCCACGTCTCCACACACTCTTTCAGCTAAGTTCTCATATCATCAGCAGGTGGAAAAACAGGTCTGTGTTCCACACCTCTGACCCAGAAGGGCTCTCCAATCTCTGATAGATACGATGCTTTGTCTTTAAGTTTTGTGTTTGCTTTTCCTACTCTGAGAAATGGAAACAGGCTTGGTATTAATACGTTTGTTTGGGATCTATGGCCATCTGTGGCCTATCATTGTGTTGTTGTGTCTGTGTTTATTTTCACAGTGATCCCCTCCCCACCAGCTGAAGTCAGTGTCTACAGCACTACAGCACACAGCGTCCTGGTCTCCTGGGTCCTGGGTTTTGATGGATACTCCACATTCAAGAATTGCAGCATTCAGGTAAACCTCCAAGGTGAAGAGAGAAATAGCTGTTCAGTGCTGTGTGGGTCTATTTGATTTTTCTACCTCCTGAAGGTGAACACTGAGGCCGTTCAGCACCTCTGTTCAGAGTCCTTTAAATTCTGCCCTGCTTAGTGTCTAACACGCATGTGCCCACTAATGATGTTCTGCCCCCAAGATGATTGCCTTCCCCCCTCTGCAGCATCCAGATTTAAATTTAAAACATCTGAGATGAAGGAGAATTAATTCTTAAACTACACAAACACATCTCTAAAGTAGGACTGACTTGTGAGCAGGAATTCAGGAAGCCAGGCTGTCTCCTTCTGGGCTGGTGACCATGAAGGAAAATGGGCAAGCTCGAGATGGGTTATCTTTGCCATCGAAAGTGGCACCTTGGGCCCATGGAGATTACAAGCTTTGCATAATAACTGACTAAAGTTGGCATAAAATAGTATGATAGGAAATGTGGATTAGCACCCCCTAAAATGTTACCTTGCTGCGTTGTAAGCTCTGCTCTTTTTCATCTCATAAAATGGAAAGGATAGCAGTAACACTTCTGATTAATGAATGCTTACATTAGCGGGTACCATTTTACTTAAAACTCACAGCAGTGCTGCAGGTTTGGAACATTCATGTAGCCTATGAGGGCAGAACCAGAATTCAAGTCCAGTTGGTTCATTAGAACCAACCGCTCCTGTGTCTCAGGAGAGTCCTTACAAGTGACACAGATAACCGAACACTGGGTCGTAGGCTAGAAATATGAATGCAATCTGCCCTGTACTCTATCATCTGCCCTGTACCCTATCATATGGTAGAGTCAGGAACTGTTCTTAGTTACATAAATGTCCAGTCTGAGGCCTCCTCGGTGGCCTAGGGTTTAAGCCTCAGTGCTATTACCACTACGACATGGTTGCTGACCCACATGGCACAGCAGACTCTCCTGTCTCACCCGCTGCTCCCCTCAGCAGTGTATTTCAGTAGATCCACATGCTCCCCACTCTGTCTCTGGTGAATCCTCTCATCCCCTGCACCTCTGGCCTACACCACAGTTCTTCTATTCAAAATAAAATTTTAATTAAATAAGTTAATGTCCATCTTATTAACTACAAACCTGTGAACCTGACTCAGGGCAGTCATGTCAACTCAACTGAGAAAAGTGACTTCCAAAGAATTTTATGTGTTGATGACCAGATGTTTTTTAATAGCAAACAGAATTGATTTCTCTGCTCTTGTTGACTCCTACTCTTGTCTAACAGATGTTCCTTCTGGAGAGTAAAAACATGTATTGTCCCCTAAATAGCTTCCACCCCTAACTACCCTGCCATCCCCAGTCTTACTTTATCCTTGCCCAACTTCATTTGTAAACTTTCCAAGTACTGGTAAGTGTTAGAAATTTGTATTGTGACCAGAAATTCTTCAATGGGTAGGAGGGGGACCATTTAAAAAAAAAAGCTTTTTGGGAGACAGTTCATACGTGATATTCAATCATTTTAAGTGTCCTGTTCAGTGCTTTTTAATGTATTCAGTGGTTTTCAGTGAACTTGTACCGTTACACTATGTAATTGTGTCTATATTTGTAAATGATATGAGGGTGTGGTTTTCTTGTGTTAGCATTTTTTGCTGTTGGTATCAGGATGATATTGCCTTGATATAATATATCAGGAAGTTTTCTTCTGTTTCTTGGAAAAGTTTGTGAAAGATTTAGTAGAATTCACCAGCAAAGACATCTACTCCTGAACTTTTCATTGAAGAAAGTTTTTGAATACTATTTCAATTTTTCATATTTTCTATTTCTTCTTGAGTCAGTTTTGGTAGTTTGTGTGTTTCTAGGAATTTGTCTATTTCCTCTTATCCATTTTGTTGTTATACAATTGTTCATAATATTCCATTATAGCCTCTATTTTCCTTTGAGGTAAGTAGTAATGTACCTTCTTTCATTCCTGATTTTAATGATTTTGTCTTTTGTAATGTTGTCCTTGGTCAGTCTAGCTGAATATTTGCCAATTTTATTGATCATTTTATGACTCATTAACTTTTGCTTTTACGATTTTTTTCAACATTTCATTAATTTCTGCTTTAGTCTTTATTTCCTTTCTTCTGTTTGCTCTTTGTTGTTTTTTTTTAAAGGCTAATTAAGGTGGAAGATTAGGTAACTGATTTTAAATTTCTTCTTTTTTAATACAGGTATTTATACTATACATTTTTCTCTTAGTTTAAGCTTTTGCAACTTTGCTGCATCCCATAAATTTTGGTATTTTTTCTTTATTCATCTCAAGATTTTTGTCCTTTGGGTTGTTATTTCTTGCTTGGCCTATGATTAGATAAGGGTGTGTTATTCAATTTTCACATAGTTAATGAATTTCTCAAATTGTATTGCTTGTTGATATCTAATTTTATTCCATAGTATTTAGAGAACATAGTCTTACATTTCCTTATGGCCTAATATATGTTATATCTTAGAGAATGTTTCCTGTACATTAGTAGACTAAGGTATATTTGGAGATGATTGTACAGATTGTTCTATCAGTTAAGGCAGAGGGTTTATACTCTTTTTTTTTTTTTTTAAAGATTGGATTTACTTATGCATATAGAACTGGGGCACAAGTCAGAGGTGCAGAGGCAGTGAAATGCTTCACTAAGTACAGAGTGGGGAGCAGAATAGGCCGATCAAGGAAGTACACTGCTGAGGGGAGCAGCAGGCTGGTCAAGAGAGGTCTGCCTTACCATGTGATTTGCCTCTGGGGCTGGGGCTACAACTCATGCTGAAGCAGCCACTGCCAGAATCACAATGCTGCGCTTCAACACGCTGTGCCACCAGGGAAGGCCCTGATTTATACTGTTGCTCACATCTTTTGTTTTCTTGTTGGTCTTTTGGCTGATGATTCTGGATAGTAAAAGTGGGGAATTAAAGCATAAACTGTTCTTCTTGAATTGTCTATTTCTCCCTTCAGTGCTATCAATTTTTGCTTCATGTATTTCAAGACTGTCATTGGAAACAACTAGGGCTTATTTCCCTATATATGGACATAGCTTGCTTTATATGGACATACATGAAACATGGACCAGGTTTTGGAAAAACTGCTACTAGGTTAAAGAGTCCAGTAGGACATGAAGCTCTTTCCCACATGAAGCTAGTTAACTTCAAAGAGACTGAGGAAAAGTGCTTCCCCCCTCCCCACCCTATAGAGTAGGTCTCAGGGTACATGTGAGCTCTAAGTAGGATGGTTGGTAGATCTCAGAACACTGGGTTGTCCCTAAAGGTGAAAGGTAATCACCTATAAATGTCCCCAGCCTCCTCTCTTTTCCTTGGCGGATGGCTATGGCTTGCATGAAAAGTCATCATGTGATTGGCAAATTGGATCTTGTAGTCAGACTTGGTTATTCTGTTTTTACCCCACCTCAACTTCCCTTTACTCCTTTTCCTTTCCATCCCTGGATTTACCAAAGAAGAATAGTGTTTACAAATTAAGCTCCGTGAGTAATTTTGTGACATACCTATACATATAATTATTCAGTTTTTCCTGAAATTCAAATATAATTGCGTGTTCTTTGTTTTTTCTGACAGTCCTACTGGGATTGGTCAAGACTGGCTCTTGAACTTATACTTCTATATTCTGTTCATTGACTGTATTCCCCATTTCTGAAGGGACTAAGAAAGGTTTCATAGCAGGTGCTCAGTTCATTACAATTTTAAGCTCTGACTTGGTAACAAATGAATGCTTTGGACAAGATTCAAATCTATGCACTAATAGAATACACCCTCTCATTTCCTTTGGTCATTGTAGTTCCTTTCTTCATCCATTTTTGGGCTACATACTCCATTTCTATTTTTAACTCTCTCACATACTTCTTGCCATTTCATGCCCTCTTTTCCCCTAGGACCCACTAGAAGAACTGTTTTAGAAACTCCATCTTCTTCCAGAAGCATGCTCCAAATTGTATCCTTATGGCTAGAATTGCTCCACATTTGCTCCGGAAATGAGACAGGGGTGGAGAGCAGAAGGTTTCCTTGACCCTGGTTCAGTGGTTGGTCACCAGGAAGTAGGTGCATACCCTGAAGAAACAAAAAGTATTATCTGCCAACAGCCAACCCCCACCACTCACCCCTCAACAGATAAACACACAGCTTTTTGTTTTTCCTCTGGTGGCTCCTCAAGGCAGTAGGTGTTTCTTGCCACACATTCAGTGTGTTCTGAGAGATGGATCTGACAGACGAGACTGGGCTTAACCATCAACTCGTGATAGCCACTGGTGCAGGGCAGGGAGGAGGCTAGAAATTCCAAACTCTTTTATTTGTGGCCCCTAGCCCTGAATTTCAAATACATGTCTCCTAAAATGACTGCTTTGTGTACCCACACCCCATCATTGCAAGCCCATTGTTAATCAGGAACATATTTTGTGAATTTAAAATTTTTCCCCAGGGGGGCTCCCTAGTGGCACAAGGGATTAAGTCTCAGTACTATGAAGCTGTCTACCCCCACCACAGCACGAGTTCAATTCCTGGCCAGGGAGGTCACCCACATAGCACAGCAGACCTCTCCTGTCTCACCCACTGCTCCCCCCAGCAGTGTATTTCAGTAGATCTCCCTATTCTGCTCTCCACTCTGCTCTGGGGAATCCTCTCACCCTCCACACCTGTGACCTACACTTTAGCTCTTGTATGCATAAATAAATCTTTTTTAAAAAAAGACTTTTACCCCAAATTGGTTTTGATTGCTTTTGTTTTGTCCAAAACTATTGAGCCATTTCTGAATTTATAAGTATATAATACTTAAAATTTAAAAATGTAGTGTAATACAAGGAAAGCAACTCTCCTTTATCTCCATTCTCAAATAGGAGGTATACTTAAGGAAAAGGGTGGCAAATTTGACGTAGGACTAGATTTTTGCTGGAATCTCCCTTTTGCCTGTGCACACAGGAGATGTCTGGAGAGGGAGATGGAGAAACGGGAATTTGTGGAGGGAAAAATGAGAACTTAGGAAAGAGCTGATGTGTTTTGAAGAGATTTGGAGATGATTGTTGGGTGAGAGGCAAATGATCCCTTTCTATATTTTCCTACCAAAAAATGTCATAGACTCTATATTTTATGTGTCTGCTTTTGAATTTATATTTAGGTGAAGATGGAAAGTAAGAATAAAGGACGTGCTAAAATCAGCATCAAGTTGAGAAAAGTTCCTCTGATTAAATAATGAAAAGAATGCAGATTTGGGGGAAAATCAAATATCCCCTCTTCAAAGGAGAAATGGCTTCTTAAAGGGACCAGATAGTAAATATCTTAAACTTTGCAACCCCCGTGAAATTGTCTTTGTTAAATATCCTGTGAAACTAGTCAAGAACTGAGGTGGTTCTGAGAGAGGAGGGGCTACTTTGTTTTCTTTAAAATGATGATACAAATGATAATTAGTATAATTATTTGCTGTGTTACCTCAGGTCCTCAATTGTTGTTCAAGTAGCATGCATAGCAAGCATACAGTAGTGTTGGTGGGAAAATCTGTGTGTAACCTGAGAGGAAATAAGTGCCTCCCACCCCTTTCGTGCAGAGGAAGGACCATGTTTACTGCATACGTGCGTGCCCACTGCTACACCCCACCACTAATGCTTGATTCACAATTTTACTCTTAATGTAGGTAAAGGAAGTTGATCCAATGAGTAATGGTTCAGTCATGACTTTTAACACCTCTGCTTCACCACAACTCTATCAAATTGAGCAGCTGCAAGCTCTGGCCAATTACAGCATCAGTGTTTCCTGCTCGAATGAAATCGGATGGTCTGCACTGAGCCCTTGGATTCTGGCCAGCACAACTGAAGGAGGTAATTCCTGGGGTTAGAATGACTATTGCCCTGATTACATGTTACTAAACAATTGACACAAGCTATGCAACCTCTGTCGTCAGACATGGTATGGATGGAGGGGAGTTGCTCTGAAACATCAGACTTTCCACACTAACTTATGTTATGACCTCCCTTTTTGTATAATCATAATATCAAAATATTCTGAGCAACTTTCAGCTTACAATTGGCTGCCTCAGCTGCATAAGGCCTGTCTGCCCTGACAAGCAAGCACTGCACCAGGGTGAAAAATTCCCCTGAAGTCAAGTGACCTGACTACTGACTGATAAATAAAAAGCAAAGGGCTGTTTTTGCAAAGTCGCCCTCACACTCTCGCTGCCTGTTGGAGGAAAACCCAAATCTTATCATTCTATTATCTCACCTAGCCTTCTATTCAGCTTCTAAAGAATTACTCAAACTTCTTATTGTTTGGCCTTTAGATGTGGAAATTCATCCAGGTTGCCTGTTTTTAAACTAGTCAAGTTTTCTACCTGCTACACCTTAAATGAATCCACAAAAGTCTTCTCGCTAGTTTTTCAGGATTCTACTATGTAGTCTTTAGATAAGGAAATTCACCTATGTTTCCTACTCAGAGATCTGACTTGCAAGGAATTTCCTCTTCCTGCCTCCCAGGCTATCTCAGGTAGAAAAACAAAAACCCATTAAGTAGTAGATAAGGTTTAAGGGACTTCTATCTTAGTTGATCTCCACTATAGTAATATTAGTCATAAACTTTGTGCACCTATGTACCTGTTTTTAACCTTGATTGATTTTAGAATGTTATATCTCAGCTAAAGGGCAATACAACCCTAAATTGTTCTTAGAAAAAAAGATGATTGTAATCTCTCAGCCCAGTTCATGTACTGATGTCATCCCACTGCTTGCTCGTAATGTATAAAATAAACCTCTGCTGAAGGCAGAGCAGGAAGACTTGCACCCAACTCCGACTCCCTTGTCTTCCTCGCTCCCCTTTCCCCTTTTTCTCCTTTTCTCCCCTTTTTAGGAATCTCCTCTCACTGATGCCTTCCCACCTTAGGGTCCTGCCTGTCTTGCCTCCAGACACCTCAATAGTTGGAGCTGGACTCCAACAAACAATCCCTCCCAATGGCCTGATTGAGAGGTTTGAGTTTTGCTTTGCTTGGTCTTTGACTCTGGAGGAGAAATTTACTGAAGTGGTTAATGAAAATGAGAAAGACAGTAATTCCTGCTGTTTCAGAGCCCCCAAAATATGGGGGTCTAGAGACCCCCTAGAAGAAGGAATTCACCAGGGTATTATGGGTGAACCAAGCAAAGTTTATGAAAAGCTCATTTATGAGGGAAACCCACACCAGCAAGGGCAATGCTGCTGGGTGTGCTACACCCTGCCCTCCTGTGAAGGTGACTGAACTTCAGCAAGAACCTACTGCACGCCACAAGAAATCCTTAGACTTCTCGGTCTCGTTGGTTAGAACAGGTTAGAGAATGATTCCGAGCACTGCATGAAGCTCACACACTGGCGTTATCGCTAATTCTTTCATGTGGTTCTTATCCTGTCTTTCTCCAGAATCATCCAGTGCTTCCATTGTCTTCTTCTGAGCATTTGTCTTTCTTGCTCTACTCCCTCACTTGCATGGAAAATATCCTCAATTAACTCCTGAGAGAATATGTGTGAAAAATAAAAACCGTCACAGCTGGCATGTCTTTATGTGATAGCTGACTGGTAATTTTTCCTAGTATAGAATTTTACACTGGAAATTATTTTCCCTCAAGATTTTAAAAGTATTTCTGCACTGGTTTTCAACTTCATAGGTTGAAGAATTCTGAAGAACTTTACCACTCGTATTGTCTAGGTGAACTATTTTTTAGTTTGTAAAAATATTTTTTAAAATCATAGAGTTGTGATGAGCTATGAAGTAAAATTTGTTTCAGTCATTATCATGGGAATGATAATCTGGAAACAAGCAAGTGCTTCTGTTTTGAAAATTACTCTTAACCTTTTTTTCTTTGAAAATGTGCTGTTTTCTTTCCAGAAATTATATTAAACAGCTGTTGGATCTCTTCAATTGCTTCCTCAGTTTTCTGACCCCTTTGACTTTTTATTCTGTTTTCTTGGAGATTTACTTGATTCATTTCTAATTCTAATGAATATTTTATTTTACTAATCATATTGCCAACTTCAAGAGTTTTCATGAAATTCTTAGAATATAAAGATACCTTGAGTTGGCCTTGTTTCCTCATAAAAAATCTACAACAGATTTGAAAGTATGTGAATCATAGGCATAACTTCAATTATATGACATTTCCTAAGCTGAAATTCACTTGACATCATGATTGCTGCTCCTCAAACCTCTCCTAAATAACAACTACAGGCAGTAGTCCAGCATGTGTTATCACAGGTGTTTTAATTTATTCTAAATATCAAGCACTTGTTTATTTCTAAAATGGATCACAGTAATACCTTTTGTGCAATTTGAATTTTCCCCATTAGTTCTTTTCACTGGTAATAAGTATTACATTAGAAAATATATGAAAATATGAGGCTGACGCGTTGCCCATTGCGCTAAGAAGGCGATGAAAATATATCAAAATATATGATAATTTTGACTATCACATTTATCCCTATAAATAAAATGCAGAATTAAACGCATATTATTTTCAGTTTTAATGGAAAACAGTCAAGTTTCTTCTTCCCAAATAAGAAAGTATCAATGACCTTAACCAATTTCCCAAATTTTTTTATACAAATACACATATATGTGTGTACATACACACACACATTTTTCTCTGGAAAAAGTTGTTCCTGTGACCTTGTGAGGGTATTTTTTGCCATTTTGACATAAATTGCACAGAATTTCCTGTAAACCGCAGACTTTATCTTCCAACTTCATTAATATTTTATTTTACTTCTTATATTGTATATTGTTCATTTTAAAAGTAGTAAATTCTACATTTTGACATCTCAGTAATTAACATGTGACCTCTGATCTTCAATAATGAGAGAACAGTGATTGATTGACTGTTCCCCGTTTTGGGCCTCTCAAATACATACACCCAGTGGCCACTCAGCCTTGTCCACTCTGCCCCAGGCGTTTCATTGGAAAAACCCTGTTCAAGCTGTATCTGCTTTGCTTCCTAGCAGGATTCCCTGAATACCACCATTTCCTCCCTCCCTCCCTCCCTCCCTCCCTCCCTCTTCTGTGTGATTTCAGTTTGAAAAGTGCTTATTATACAAACATTTTAATTGAAAATGGAGTGAAAATCTCTACTAATCTCAGAGTCATTTGAGTGACTTTTCCACGGAGTGTTCAAAAACCAGATAATCAAAATGCAAAGAAAAGAACGTATCTCTGTATTTTTCATGGGGTTCTTCAGCCTTCCCTCATTTTTCTTTTGTAGCCCCTTCAACAGCACCTTCGAACATCACAATGTTTCTGAATGAATCTAGTAATAAGTTGGACGTCAGATGGATCCAGCCTCCGATTAAGCGGCAGGATGGGGAGCTGGTGGGCTACCGTATATCCCACGTGTGGCAGAGTGCGGGGACTTCCGTAAGTCTGAACCTGAAAGGCTGCATCCTTGCTTTGATTTGACTGTATAAGACTGTTCCAGAAGCTTTCAGTTTGTAGTGACAAGACCTGGTAAGACTGAGTTGGGGGTGAAGGTGCACTAGGCTCCACGATGCTATGCACTGAGCCCAGTTAATTGTGTCCCTGAGGGTCCCAGAACCAAGAACTTGGCCATTTTGCAGCAAGCAGCAAACAAGCCCAGGCTCTGTGAGGGTGCATGGTCTTCCTGATGCAGCCACTTGACACTTCATGCTCTGTGAGCAGCCCCCAAGTGGCTCAAGCTCAAGGGATGGAGAAGCCTGGCTGTTTTGCATGCTGAGCAAGGCTGTACAGGATGCTGGGCCTATGGCAGACTGCCTGGACCTGCAGATGGCTCTTGAGCTGGGCTGGGAATAATCTTGACAGGTAAAGATTGAGGAGTTTCTGATGGGAAATGGTCACATGAGATGGCATAATATAACGACTTTGGGGGAATGTGACTTAGTCAAAGGCCTGAAACATGAGTCATGGCCCAAGTATGCAGCATCTGAAAGTTAGGCCAAGATGTCAGGGAGAATTTGGCAGATGGCAGGGAGCCAGCGAAAATCGTGAACCCAGGAGTATGATTTGAGAGTTAGCTGTTATGAAGATGGCTTATTAATTGTGTTCTTTTACAAATGAGAAAATTGAGTTTATTACGAAGCGTAACCGTCACATCTGCCTTCTGGCCATCCAAGCGTATAGCCAGATGCCCAGGTAGCTCAGCCCCTTGCTCCGCCACTCTCTCCAAAGTGTCTTTGAGAATGAACGGAGGATGCTAGGCTGGACAGCCCCTCCATGACCCGTATAATATGATTGGGGGAGGGGTACACTGGTGTTTTTTCCAAATGACCATTCTTTTAATTAAAAAAAAAAATTTAATTCCATTTGCTGCCATCACCCATGGTAACAGTCTTCCAATTTTTTTGGTCACCGTTACTCTCTTAAAATCATCACGTCTCCTAACAGAGTGGTGACAACCAGAGGAGAAGGGGGTAATCAGACTAGTGGAAGGAGTCGGGCGCTGAGTGGTGAATTGTGACTGGACATTTGGGGGGTAGGAGTGGTGTGTTTGTGTGGTTGGGAGGTGAGAAGCTGAACCCCTGACTCACACAGCGTTATAAACCAGTCTCACCTTAATTCAAAAAGGCATTATCGAGTCTCAGCTTTGATTGTTATGGATGTACCTGTTCATATTTCCATACTCAAAATTAAAATAATTATATATTAATTCAGTTTAAAAAGTTAATAAGCCCAGTACATACTAAGATAATTCGTGCATTTTAGTGAAAACCTATATTTTCCAAAGAGAAGTACATTGATTGTGAAAAGATCCAGGGTGACACAAGGGGCACCCCCAGACCTGAAGACAAACTGCTGTCATCCAGTAAGCCTCCACGGTCTTTATCGCTAGAAATCAGCAGGGAGCCAAGCATTTCTTGTTCAACTCTTTCTTTCCTCAACTAACCTCCCTGGACAAAATGGCCCTTTGAAGGAAAATATCTTAGGATTCTTTTATTTCTCTAACTTTTGGGGAAATAGGCCACCTAATTTAGAATGATCCCTGATCATTTTCCGCATATATATTTGGGGTCAGCCATGGAGTAGACCTCAAAGGCGATTTGTCATATACACATCTGGGTCTGTGCTCTGGCCATAAAAGCTGGAAACTGTAGAACATAGCTTATCTCTATAACAGCCTGCAAGGAAATCATTTACTTCCTAAGGCCTTTATCACTGACAGATTAATATCAACACTAGCTATTTAGCCATTTTGGAAGTTTGGCTACTGACTAAAAATATGTCATAAAATGCCTCCTGCTTTCCCTTACAATGTATGTATTTGATGTCTCTATTCAGAGACCTGTGTGCATGAGAAAGTCAATTCTTTATGATATCTTCAAAAATAAGAGATTATGAGTTACCTCTTGGGTGTTTTAGGTTAGATCTGTATGTCCATATCCAAACCAATAACAGCACCTGGTTCTGCCATTACCAGGCTACACCCTCTCTATCCCACAAAAAAGCAACATAGGCGAGAACAGATGCGTTCCAGAAGTGGCTCCCATACCTATACCTGGGAATGCTGAGTCAGGCTGGCTTTCAGCTCAGCTGCATCCAGGTTCACTTGTGATGTCATCAAAGTTGGTCTCTCCCTTTCAAATTGGCTCTCACTGTATACTCAGTTCCAGGTCAGAGGCTCTTTCTCTCAACATGGCTGCCAGACAAAAACCTGGACTGAGGTGCAAGGAAGAGCATTCCCAAGGAAAATCAAGACGGCAGTGTTAGAAAAGAGGGACTATCTGTGGTCCGAAGATCAGTGACCCACCAAGCCACTTACATCACTGGCATATTAGTCAGGATTTTCCAGAGGAACAGAGAAGAAGAGGTTGGAGGGAGAGGAGAATGTCTAGAGAGAGAATTGGAGGCAGAAGAAGAGATTTATTTTTTGTAAAAGATTTCTTTATTTATACATACAGAACTGGGGTGCAGGCCAGAGGAGCAGCGACAGTGAGAGGATTGAGTGGGGAGATAGAGTGGGGAGCAGAACAGGCCGACTGACAAAGTACGCTTTGGGCAAGGGGAGCAGCAGGCGAGACAGGAGAGGTCTGCTTCCCCATGTGGATCACCTCCGGGGCAGGTGGGGGGGGATTGAACTCATGCTGAAGTGGCTGCTGCTAGCTTTGTAGTGCTGTGCTTTAACCCGTTGTCCCACAAGGAAGGGCCCCCAAGGGATTTTTTTTTTTAAAGATTTATTTATTTATTCATACAGAACTGGGGTACAGGCCAGAGATGCGGAGGGTGAGAGGATTCACCAGAGACAGAGTGGGGAGCAGGACAGGCAGATCGACGAAGTACACTGCTGAGGGGAGCAGCGGGCGGGTCAGGAGAGGTCTGCCGCGCCATGTGGTCACCTCCGGGGCAGGCGGGGATCGAACTCATGCGTAAGTGGCTTTAGTTTCTCAATGCTGCGCCACCAGGGAGGACCCAGCCAAGGGATTTATTTTAAGAAATTGGCTCATGGTGCTGATCCGAAGATGAGACTAGCAGGCTGAGAGAGAGGCAAAAATTGATGGTGCACCCCTGCTGGCAGCACCTCAAGTCTTTTTCTCTTAAAACTTTTAGGTAAGTGGATGAGGCTTTACTCAAAATATACTGTTTAGTGTTACTATCACTTTACGGATACCTTCATTGTAATATCTAAACTCACGTTTGACCAGATATCTGGGTACCGTGACTGAGGCAAGTTGACACATAAAATTAACAATCACAGTTTTCAACAAATGTGTATTGACTATCAGTCTGTGCTTGGAACTTGGTGGTCAACAGAATGTCAGCTAATCCTGCCTTACCATCTTAGATTGGCAAGATCCTCTGTGTTCAGTAAGGACTTTCTAATGTAAATTAGTATCTTACTAACACTAATGTAGAGCTCTGTAATGAAATGCTTTTTCACAATAGCAAACAAGAAGCAGGGAGTGGTGTGTGAAATAGCAGGTATTTCTATCACCTGCTGCTTTCAACAGTCTGATTCCCGATGGGGTAAACTGAGCCAAGAAAAGAGCAACCTCCCTAAGCACCAGATACTGCCTTTTCTGTGGATAGGACTTAGGAGTGACTCTAGTCAAGCCCAGAAGGATGTCCAGTTTTAATTGCTATGAGGTCTTAAAGATCACTCTTATGATATGAACATTGGGACAAAGACATAATAGGGCAAGCAGCTGGGTGGTGATGCCTGGGTGTGGTTGGGTGGGTGGGCACCCACACAGGTCCCCTTCCTACTCGGGAAAGGCAGAGGATTGAAGTGCACCAACTTCCTTGTGACGTGGAGTCTCTGAGGAAGGTCGGATGCCCAGCTCTTTTCTGGGCTACGCTCTTTGCTACCATCATGGAAAGCATGTTTCTTTTGTATTGTCACACTCCTAATTGATGTGCCCTGGTGACAGATCATATCTGAGCATCCCAGTAGCTCTTGTATGGGCTAGTGTACAACGGATCACAGCTTCTTGGCAGGAAGGTGAACTACTGCACTCACTATTGGCATCCAAGCCACTGTGGTCATTTTCAAACTCACATCATCCAGCTGTTATTGAAACATCTGATTTTTGAAAGGATAATTGGGATTATTTCTTCTTCTTTTCTTGCCTCAGTAAATGAGAACAGGTTACTTGTACCAGTCAAAACCCTGCTGAAGTGTTGTAACTATGAGAGATCTCTCATTTCCTGGTCTTCGCCCAAGGCATTTGTGCAGGTGTCTATTAACTAACTGCATTCCCACATTCACTGAGTCAAGGCAATCAAATGTCTTTCTTAGAACAAAGCTCTTTTTTATAATGCTAAATTCTTACTATGGATGCATGGAGATTCCATAACTATATTCCAGTTTGGTGATTATGAGCACCAGCTGCAGGTCGTTCTACTCCCCTGGGGTGGGTGAGGTCACTGCTTTCAGATGGTCCTCTCACTCTGAGGCGTGCTGAAGGGTGGGAGTTAGGAAACCGTATGCTGATGCAGCTGGAGAGCCTGCTTCCCTGAAAGCCATCAACACTCAGCCATGCTGTTTGTGCTCGGTGCCTTTTGTTCAGACGGTCCCTTCTGTGCTGAGAACAATAGGGCCACAGTGATGGTTATGACCTTTCCAGTCATTACCTCCTTGGAGATGCTGGGTCATCCCAGGGAGAAGGTCATTGCACTGTACTCAGCTGTGCCATGTGCATCATCGAGGTCTTGTGACAACAAGAGACTCGGTGGCAGACTTCGCTGGATAACATTCTCTGATGAGGCTCACTCTGAAGTTCATGAGCCACAAGAAGAGACAAAAACAAACACTGAAGAAAAGCCAACCCTGGGAGGGATCTTGTGGCCAAAGTGAAACCTGCGATGATTTCACTCCACCACCTCGGTTTCCTCAGTTTCTGAACTCCTTTCATTTGAGCAGATTATGAGCAAGGCACAGCTATACCCCTGACGTTGTCCTTTTATTCTGTTTGTTGAAAGATGCTATGAAAGCTATATCTTTATGCAAAGCTTGGGTACTTCTGGAAGATATCCCCACTTGTTCCTCTCATCGTAGTGTTGTTTTGAGTAGGTTCAGAAATTATTTTTGATGTGGACTTTGGATGGATTATTGCAATTACGTTGAAAACTTAGTTTTCAAAGTTTATACTTTTGATATCCCACAACTGTTTGTTTTATCACTTTCAGGCTAAAGAACTCCTGATATTCTGCTATTTACTCTCTGAACCTTGATTATATCTTGAAGATGTTGGTGTGGTTTTTTTTGTTTTGTTTTGTTTTTGTTCTATTTTTCTTGACGTCCTTTGCTTTCTAAATCAAGGCTCAAAATCCAAAGATCGGGTGCACGCACACTGTTCTCCTTGAAGTTAGAGCTGTTCTTGTGCTCCTTTTCTCCATCTGAATACATGACCTTGAATATAGTGACACTGATGGCCCATGGGCTCGATGTGTGAAATCTAAACCAGCTAGGGAGTTGGCATGTGGCCTCGTCCTCCTTCCTCCCTCTACTCATTATCAAAAGAGGACAGGGCATTTGAGCTGGTGTCATTCTGAGGAAAAAGAAATAAGCCATGTAGGGGTCTGAAATACTTCTGAAATTCAAAGATGTTATTTTTGCCTGGAGAAGAAACCTACAATGGAGGTGAACTGCATGAACGGGCCAAATACGCTTAATTATTTTGTCAGAGATGTGAACAGTTCCACAAGTTCAACTCTGTGAAGCATTTTAAATGTGTGTGGGGGAAAAGCCCCAAACATAGCCCCTTAAAGGTACAGTAGAGCTGTAGACACTGTAATAGCCACAGTTGGCCAGACTGTGAACAAAGTATTCTGCATAAAGGAACTCATTTACACTTCACAAAAACACTATAAGAAAGATACCATTATTCTCTATTACTCAGCAGTCAACAAAGATAAACTCATGCCATTTGCAGCAACATACATTATTCTCTATTACTCAGCAATCAACAAAGATAAACTCATGCCATTTGCAGCGACATGGATGGAGCTAGAATGGATTGTGTTTAGTGAAATAAGCCAGAAAGAAAAAGAAAAATACAGGTTTCACTCATAGCAGGAGTGTAAGGGGGGAAAGTAATAAAGTAAAAACAAGCATCAACTAACAACTATGAACTAGAAATATTCTACAGGGGAGCAGAAGGGAACAGGATCAAAACTGGTGGGAAGAGCACACAGGACTATGGGTGAAGTGGTGGTGGGAAGTCCATGGGGACTACAACTGAGGTAAAAAAAAAAAAATTTAATATATAAAATAATAATAAGAACAAAGATACTATTTTTCTCAATTTACATTTGAGGAAATTACAGTTCAGGGATGTTGAGTAATTTGCCCAGAGTTACAGAGCTTGGAATTGGCGGCTTGGGATAAGCATCCAGGTCTGGCTGACTCTTAAGCCAGTCCTCCTCAGAGCCCACTGCTGTCTCCCAGATGCCCATGGATTTCTTTTTTACACATCGTTTCTCATTCAGACTCCATAGTGTGACCTTTTAGGAGAGAAAAATAAGAACAGGACATGACAGCAGAAAACAGTGTGAGTTTTGCAGCCATGCCTGTGAATTTGAAGTCATTTTGGATAGGTTACCGCGTTGTAGCAAGAACAGAAACCTACCTTTCCCGTTGAGTGCTACTATTCTTTGAGGCAATTAAATAGGTCATATTCTTAAATACACTTGTAATTATTTGTGGCTTCTTTCAGAGTTGGAGATATTAAAGTCTTTTGATCACTGAAAATAAATACCACTCTGTTGCCTCACTCTGATTCTACATGACAAACAGAAATTGCATTTCCACAGATGTGTTATTACTTTAAGCAACAGGCAAGGTCCAACATGTTTTCTTTTGAGTAAAGTGGTAATCAGATATCATGGTGTAATCTGATTTCATTACCTGAAAATGCTTTTAGATTTTAAATCCTTGGGGATATGGACTTGAATTGGTGAAAATGAAAACTTGCTGAATAAGGAATAGGCAGTTGGCCTGTGTGTGTGTTCCAGATCAGATCAGCTCCCGCTAGGGAGGTGACCTCAACGCGTCTGTACTGCTCCCTCTCTGGAAAGGCTGAGTTCCCTGTACCCGTAGTAAACTGACCATCATGAAACTGAGTGACCAGGATCTAGAGCTACCACCCAAACCAAGGCCCCTCCTGTTCACTGGTAATCCATGACCCCCGTGTTCCACACGGTGTGATATTTCCCTCTGTGTAATCATACCTCAGGAATTCAAAGAAAAGACATGTTCAAGGGTGTCATTTCAGCCTTCTCTGCCTCTACAGTGCCCACTTGAAAAGCCCAAACACAAAACTAGTTTTCTAATCTAGAGAATATCATTCTAGTGCAGGTTTGGATGCAAAGAGGAAAGTGTAAGGACATTAGTTCTGTTTTTGTTTTTTTTTTTCCCAAAAACAAATTTCCTCTATTTTTGTAATCAAAGTAACATTGTCATATAATACTATGTAGTTTTTAGGTGTCTATCACTATAAATAAAAATACCATACAGTTGGCCCCTTCAGCCCACTGATTGGCCCCTGCCCTCTGACACCCACTGTCATGTCCCGGGGGGCATGACTGAGAGAGGAGTGGGGAGCAGGTTTGTAAGGCAAGACCCTGCTGTCCAGTAAACAGCCCTCAGCTGTTTATTGAGTAACAGTGAACAAGCATGCTTGATTATGAATACAGTGGCAGGAGAAATGGAGTCCAGGGGAAACAAAAGGTATTCATCCTCATGGGGAACAGGGCTTCAAAGGGATGAAAGGATGTAGTCATATCGGGAACAGGGGAGGACGCTTCAGCCATGAAGAATTTCCCGTGCAGGTGCTTGGTGTAATTTTCGAGCTACTTCCAGACCGTCTTGGACTTTGGCCACACAATCAGTCAGTGGTTACTGAAGTGTCCCTGGCCACCTCATGATGTGGGTCATTGTCTCAAGGCTGTCATGTGTAGGAGCACCTTATCCAAGTCATTTACGCACTTAGGTGCATAGAGAGGCCATAGCACACTGCTGCAGGGGCCCCAGGTAGGGGAGAGGCCACATGATGTTTTGTTGCTTTATATTCCACACTGAAGTGAAAACTGAGCAAACCATGCACCTGTCTCACTGGGAAAAAATAACTAAGGTCAGCACCCTCCTAAGTGTAGGCTTTAGTCAAAACTCTTACAACTGCCAGGAGCAGGGGCCCACTCAGGCTGGCTCAGGAGAGGTTGGCTGCGGGCATAGGGTATAGGATGGTTCCTGGCCATCACAGCAGGGGGCCCAAGGGGGTTTGGAGGAACCAGTGTTGCTCTCATCAGTGTGGACACAGCAGCTACATGCATCCTCTCTCCAGAGGCTTCATCATTGACCATTTTAGGTGCCATGGCCTCCCAGCCCTAGTAGACCAAGACCCCCCTGTGCAGTGGCTGCTGCCCTAGTGGACTGAGGCCCCCCCGTGCAGTGGCTGCCAGCCCATCCTGACCCTCGCCAACCTTTAGGTTCCATTGGCTGTGGCCTGAATGAGAAAGGGATACATGGCAGTGCATTGCACTTCCCTAGGATGTGGGTGGGACAGATTGAAGGAGCTGTAGGCAGCAAGCAATGTACCCCTCAGTATTTCACTTCTCTTCAGTATTTCACTTCCTTCCCTTTCCTCTGTGCCCCCAGAAGGAGTTCTCTGAAGAAGTTGGCCAGAACGACAGTCAAGCTCAGATTTCGATTCAAGTCCACAATGCCACATGCACAGTGAGGATCGCAGCCATCACAAAAGGGGGAGTTGGGCCTTTCAGTGACCCAGTGAAAATATTCATCCCTGCACATGGTAAGAGGGGGTCCTTGTCACTGATAGAACGTGTCAGTCCAGGCAAGCCCAGATGTGAAAGGCTGACTGGTAGGATGGAAGCTGGTTTAAGAATGAAAAATAAAGACCAAGTGGGATCTTTTCAACAATGAAGATGGTTGATATGATGACATGTGTCAAAGCAACCAACACCCACTATTATTACTATCAATAGTAATAACTTACCAGGGAAAGTGGTCCTTTCAGAATACTAAGCTTGGCTTGGCCTACTGAATTAGTTTCAACGACATGTACGTGACTGAATTTCAGGGCAGTGGTATAGCTGCTTGCCCTGTAGTTACCCACTCAAGCCTTTGGTAATGTGCTTCATGACTCATCAGTACAGAATAGGGAAATATGTCCTCTAGAAGCTGGCCTGAGACAGTGCTGGGCTTGCTGAGCTAACCACCCAGCTCTGCCTGCGGGTTTTTGTATGTTGGAGGGAACTTTGGCAGGTGCCATCACACTGGCCAGGTGGTCCAGATGCTGTACATGGACACCTGGAGTGGCCTTTATTCTACTCTGCACTCCCCCTCCCTCCGTAGATTGAATTAGCTCATACATCCCCTGCATGGGCATTTATATCAGTGAGACTTGTACAATTATATATTCTTGCCAATATGGCATTTGTACCCAATGCAGATTGGACTTGTGAGCAGATCACTGAGTTTCTTTCCATCTGTCAGCAACCTTCAAATATGTGCTCCTTTTTCTTGCTGAACTGGAGTCTCATTAGAGTTCCTGCAGCCCACTGACTGTCCCTGGAAGACATTAAGAACTGATAATGGGTAACACAAGGCATGTCTACCTGATAGATGATATTCAAAGACATAAGATTCTGATTCTAAAGGCACATCTTAAAAACTCAGAGTTGAAAAAAAATGTACAAAATGATGTAAAAATAAACTGTTATAAAAAAAAACAAAACTCAGAGTTGAAGCTTTCTTCCCATAAACAAACAAAAAAACCTGTCAACATTTTAAAAATCTTTACTGCTTTGGAAATCTGTGCTTTGCACCGTTCCAATATGCATACATCTCAGTTCCATTATTGAGTTAAATATATAATAACACGAGTTCCCCAGCAATATGGTTCTAATTTGAGTTATCATCATTTATTAACTAACTGCATAAGCATAAACTTTGCTGCTGGCTCTTTTGTCTGTAAATTCACTCTATCAGTAACAGATGTGCAACAATAACTACACTCCATTCTAAGTCTGTCAGTTCACACTCATCTGACTAAGCAGTGGCTGCACTGCCTCCTTGTCACCATGTGACATAAAGTGGTAGTGAGCAAAGATGAAAGTGCAGGAAAGAGAAAAAGTGAGTGTTGGAAATGAAATTAAAACTGAAAATCTGTGGAGTTTCTGTGAAGAGAAACGTCTGTCTGTGGCATATCGCTACTTCTGCCATCTGACAGACCTAGATATGTAGCCAGGGAAGTCAGGGAAGGTGCGCTTACTCACACCAGTGATGTGATGTGCCAGAAAGTATGACAATGTTCCAACGAAAGTCACCCCCAAAATCTCCATACAAAGAAATTCTCAGAGATAGTTTACAATATTGAAAACCCAAAGGATAAAAACACTGAAAGCTGATCCAAACAATTCTCCAAGGCATGGAAAATGTGTTCTCTCTGTATCACCAATGATGACTACAAAAGGCAAGCACTGTTTAAACTATTTTGCATATGTGTTACTAAGAAAACATTTAACTCTGTGTTTCCAGTGTTTGCAATTTCAGTGTCCCAGATAAGTATTTGTTTCATCATTTTTTTCAACTCCTTCTACATTTATAACAGACGTGAGGAGAGTTTGCCATTGATTATTTAAGTCTTTCTTCACTGAGAACTCCTTGCATTTGTCGATCACCAAATATGAAAGGGCTAAGTTCTAACACTTTGACTATCTATTCTTCCTCAGTATTTCCCGACCCAAAGAGATGTTTTGAACTGATTGTCTCTCTGTGGCTATTTTCCTAGGTTGGGTAGAGTTTGCCCCCTCATCAACCCCAGCACCTGGCAACACAGATCCTGTGGTCATCCTCCTTGGTTGTTTTTGTGGATTTGTTTTGATTGGGTTAATTTTATACATCTCTCTGGCCATCAGAAAAAGATTCCAGGAGACAAAGTTTGGGTAAGTTTCCCAGTTAAGATTCCCCAGTGACACCGATAGCATTGTTATGCCAGGTGATAATGTCTCTTCTGTTGACCCCACTACTGTATCCAGCATGCGTATCCCGGATCAAGCAGCTTCCTTACTCAGGCCACCCGGGTTCCAGCTTCAGTTCTGTCATTGAAACAAGCCTTCTAACATTTTCAACCATCCTCATATTACCTATTTTTAAATGATCTCCAAAGTCATTACAATTCTACATACGATGATTCTAAATTGAGACTTTCAGACTTAATAATTAAGAGACACAGAGTCTAATATGTTGATCTCTTTAAAAATTAAAAGCAGAATGCACTTTATATCATTCATTGGGAATTCATAGTTAACCTTGCTGGAACTGGAACTGATACAACACAATTCCTAGATTTTTTTGCCTAAGATCAGCTAGCATAAAGGCTCAATAAAACAGAACCAAGAAAATGATGCCAAAGCTCCTGAACCCTCAGGGAGCCTGGGCCCATATGGATGTATGTATGTGTTTGCATGTGCATAAAGGTGTGTACATATATGTATGTAGAGAGATTACATGTGTAGAGAGATTATACATTGGTTATAATCCAATCCTACTTAATTTTGTTGCTTAGATTGTTAGAGCTTTGGCCATTCAGAGTTTCTTGGTTGTTCTATGCTTTTGATAATTCATCTTTTTAGATGGTATAAAACAGATGTTTTATATGTGAATGTGTGTGTGTGTGTGTATGCACAGAAATACATGTATTTATCTATTTATATATATTATACACTGATATAAATACTCTATACATACAGTATAGTGTTTATGCGTATAGTATATATACACACATCTACACATATGTATACATATATAGCTTCATAAACTTACTAAAATAGATTTTTAGGAAAGAAACATATGTCTCAGGTAGGAAATATCTTCATCATAGAAGAGCCCTTTCCACAGGCCGCTGCTTGGCAAGTAACCCTTGGGAAGTCAGCACCTGCTTTTGCAACCCTGTCTTTGCAGCCTGAGTCCTTGTTTTTACTTTCCCAGGAATGCCTTCACAGAGGAGGATTCAGAATTAGTCGTTGATTACATAGCAAAAAGATCCTTCTGTCGGCGAGCTGTTGAACTCACCTGTAAGTTGATTTTTATTTCTCTTTTTGGCAAAAACTATAGTAGTTGACAGCAAAGAAAGAACAAATAGAGAGATTTCTAAAATAAGAGTCAAAGGAGATGAAATGGATATTTTTTTTTTTAAAGATTTATTTATTTATGCATACAGAACTGGGGTACAGGCCAGATGCTCAGGGGTGGTGAGAGGCTTCACCAGAGACAGAGTGGGGAGCAGAACAGGCAGATCGACGAAGTACACTGCTGAGGGGAGCAGCCGGCTGGTCAGGAGAGGTCTGCCATGCCATGTGGTCACCTCCGGGGCAGGCGGGGATCGAACTCATGTGGAAGTGGCTTTAGCTTCTCAGTGCTGTGCTTTAACCCACTGCGCCACCAGGGAGGGCCTGAAATGGATATTTTTAAGGTCCAAAATATCTTCAGAAATGGACAAATACATGTCAGACATTGTCACATCCATCCGTGTTGGCCAGTTTGCTGGAAATCTGGTGCTGGGCCTGAGGCTAAGGAGCTGGAATTAAGGCCTCATTAGCCATGAACTCTAGTGAAATGATAGGAGAAGCTGTGGGTAGAGATCGGTGGTGTGAAGGAACCAGCAAAGCATCTGACTTAAGGTCAGAGCTGATTTCCTGTTTTTTCCTGGCAACCAGCTCAGCAAACAATATGACCACATACTTTATAACAATTATGGTTTGAGTTTTGCTGAATCAGAGAACAGAACCTTCTAGCTTGGAGAGTGGTAATAAACAGATAACTGTGTTCTTGAATACTTTCCGAAACAGTGCAGAAAGTATGTACAAATATTATCAAATTCATGATTAGGGATGTTTGCCAAAAAGCAAAAACATTAACAATAGCAAAATAGACCCGGGAATGATGGAATACAAATTGCTATGAAGTAAAACTCACTTGATGTGGGATGTTGTTATTCTGATCTAGCAGTTTTGACTTTTCTATGTCTCTGTTCTTGCATTTAAAACACTTTTCTTTTGGATGGTTCCTTTATTGGAGGGACTTTTGGATAAAATGTTTTTTCAAAGAGCTAATGTTTCTAGTTAGCTCCTTTTTTTTTTTTTTCTTTTGAAAGACTTTTTCTTGTGCCTACTATGGCACAGACCTAATCATTTGCCAACTAGTTATTGAATTGGCCTCCATCTCTGGCTAATGCCTCTTATTGGTAACATTCGTGGGTGATGCATGTCTAGACTTTGTTACAGATCCTGTTTTCCCTTCCAGAGTACCCAGTTTAGCATTTCCTATGCCATTATGAGGGAGTTCCATATACCCTATATAGAAGAGTGGTGTGTTTTGTTTCCTATGATTCCTGCACCAGTCCGACAGGGGCAGCAGAGAGAAGTGCCAGGGTCCTGGTCCTCATCTATATGCAGGAGTCAGGAGCATAATAGTAAATACTCCACTAGCAAGTACCTGTTACTAATCATCCTACCTCCTGAAGTCCAAGGCAAAGCTCTGGTTGCTGCCTGCTGCTGCTACACAATGAGGAGGGAGAGATGGTTCTGATTTTTATAATCTGTCAGAACAAATCTTGCCCTGAAGTGTTCATTTTATTCACTTTAATCATAGTGGCTCATTAACTGTGATATGTTACTGCTGGCATTTTGGGAGAAGAGTTATGCGTACCAAATGAAACAAATGTTTAACAATTTTATAGGACTTCATACATAATTTTATTTGTATTCAAATAAAGGCAGCACCCATGACTCATACCTTCCCTGTCCTCTGCTATAGTGAGCAGCTTGGGTGTCAGCCAGGAACTGCAAAATAAACTAGAAGATGTTGTGATTGACAGGAACCTTCTCATTCTTGGGAAAATTCTAGGGGAAGGTAAGCAATTTAACCCTTTTCAATTTGAGGTAAGAAGGTAAGCAGCTTAACAATGTGCATTTGTGAAAGAAAACACCATTTTGTAGATTTAAGTTATCATACAAATAGTTCTAGTTTATAACTAAAACAGAATTATTTTATCACCTTCTAGAGTGATGAGCTCAGTGTGAGCCAACCAAACTTGTGACTGCAGGAGGCTGGTACCCAGCCTGCACCCTGGTGCTCAGGCACGGGTGGCATCTGCCCAGGGGCCTCCCCAAACCAGCTGCCTGCAGGTGGGCAGCTGTCAGCCCAGTAAAAACAACAGTGCTGACATACCAGCATTTCTGCAGTGGGGGAGACTTTACACAGACTCAGCATAGATGTTGTTTGACTTCACAGGAGAGTTTGGGTCTGTGATGGAAGGCAGCCTTAATCAGCAAGATGGCACCTTGCAGAAAGTGGCAGTGAAGACCATGAAATGTGAGTTACCACTGTCTAAACCCATTCTTCTGGGTGTGGGTAGCTGCCTCAGTCCTGGTGCTCCATGACATCAGTAAGGAAGCTCAGTCTAGAGCTCAGTCTCTGATGGGTCAGAGGGCCACCCAGAAGTCATTGAGGGAAGGTTACTATGATGAATTCTCCATACCCGCTTTACATATTTACACTGGAGACAGTAACACTGCTCTTGCGTACTCTTTCCCTCTCTCCCATTCTCTGCCTCCCCCCCCCCAATCTGATGACTCTGAAATAAGGCATCATATCCAAGTCAGGGCTGACTTGGGGGCAGCACCTGGCTGCAGGAGTCAATATGGCTGATCTGGCTATCTTGATAGGGCCATTTCCCCCTTGAGGATAGTTGTATGGTCCTCAGGAAGCAATGGGCTGCCTGGAAAGTAAATGTACAGGGAGAGAAGAGCACTATAGAACTAGAAGTTCCAAGCAAGCTGAGAAAAGAGCCTACAGCTGAGTCAGGAAGGACCTTCTAAGTCCTAACAAAGAATCTGTTTTTATGCTGCAAGGAGTAGGGTTTTTTGTTTGTTTGTTTGTTTGTTTGTTTTTTGCTTTCTCCTTAATTCTTTTTTTTTATTACAAAAGTTTATTTTTACATCATTTTGTACATTTTTTTTTCCATCTCAATTGTAATCCCCGCGGGTTTCCCATCACCAAGTCACCCGTGTGCCATCACCGTAATCCTGTGCACTTCCCTCCCATTTTTGATCCCATTCCCCACTCCAACCCCACAAAATGTCTCTGGTATATGGTTGTTCATTATTTTTGTTATTTTCTTGCCTGGTCCATTATAGGAGTAGGGGGCTTTTACATGTCTTACACCAAATGAGGAACAAAGAACAGATTCGTTCTAGAAAGTTCACTGCAATGACAGCATGGAGGAAAATGAATTATAGCATTGACAAAAATAGTGACACTCTAGAATCTGCGAATATTCATCTAGATAGGGAAAGTAAGACCCAGAGACAAGTGACATGTCTAGGAGCTAGAAAGGGGGAAGGTTGGCTACAGTAGCATGTTCTTCACACCTGTCTCCAGAAATGTATTTCCAAGGCCTAGATACACACAATTGTCTATGTTTGACCTTTTTGGTGCCCAGTTTGACATCCATAAACTGAACCATGATTATGTGGTGCTTCAGCTATGCTTCTCATCACAAAACACGTGGGTGAAGATTATTTGATGCTCGGTTTGGTAATACTCTTAAATGACTGCCTCACTAACCCTGTCTATCTGTTTAGTATTATTTTTGAGCAAGGAGTAAAATAAAAGTGGTTTCTTCCTAAAATTGAAACCCACTGTGTACTGAGCATTCAAGCACAACTTAGATTACAAGTTTATAGATTATAATCAGAGCTGCTTCAATTATAACCAGAGCTGCTGGCTAGAATTTAGGTCCATTATAAAAAGGACCATGTAACAATTAACAATTAACATGGATCTTTTGCTTTCTAAAGCTTCTTATGTATATGTTCGTGGGCCATACTTACATAATACTCACTATGTGGCAAAAGAACCCTTGTTATTCCCACATTTCAATAGTGCAACAGAAACAGGAAATCAGTACAGCTGGAAAGTAAGTGAATGTTATCTCCCTAGCACCAAGTCACGCTGAAGTTAGAGTAGTCACTAAGAGCTGACCGCGTACAAACCAACCTGTACTAAGCCACATTCAACACCATTCCTGCTAATTAAGCTGTATTCTGTTTGCACCCCACATTGTGTTTGCGCCATTGTCCCCACTTATCAAGGAGGAGGCAGAGATTGAGAGGACCCTGTGAAAGGAACTGGATCTGGAAGCTTCCTTTGACCTTGACTCTGCTGTTCTGTAATGGAATCAGAATCACTTGCATATGAATCACTTACTAATTATCAAAGGTTGAAAGAGCCTCTGACCCCAAATCCCATGTTCATTATATTGGCCTGAGGTTGGCCCCTTAGGGGAGGCTTTGTCAGCAGACCCACCCCCCTTTTCTTCCACAGGTTGGTTGTTTCTAGCAAGGGGAATAGGTTGAGGGTGAAGTTGGCAGATATTCTGCAGGTCTATAGAATTAAAGACTTCTTTCATAAAGTTTGTTTAGTAGAAAGACTCATAGATATATTTAATGCACAGGATGTATAGACACTGTGCTAGATGAGCTCATATCTGATTTAAGTCAATATTTATACCCTGTTAAAGAAAACCCCTGTGACACACTTTGTATTCTTGTCATAAAACCATCTTAATCATTTTTAAGTTCAGCGACATTGAGCACATACATACTGCAGCGATCACCACACCACCAACCCACCTCCAGAGCTTTTTTTCATCCTGCTCAGCTGCAACAGCTCCCCATACCCCCCATTCTTCACCCTCTCTCCTGCACCCACCATTCTGCTTTCTGTTTATACAAATTTGACTATTCTAAATGCCTCATATAAGTAGAATCCTGTGACTGCCTTATTTCACTTCCATAACATAACATTTTAAATCTCTTAAACTGGTGTAAGACCATAAACTTGGCAAGAAAGTTTTTCCAGTTAATAAGGTGTAACTAAGCACCTGGATGTGCAAGATCGTTGCTGACCGAAAGGGAAAGCATGTGTTTTCTTTTTTAAGACAAAAATAACTGCAGCGGATTAATTGGATCTCATTTTAGGGGTTTTGTTGTTGCTGTTGTTGTTTACCTAACAGTGCTTCATCGCTAGAGCAGCTCTAGATGGCAAAACAAGAGGCAGAGAGCCCAGGTTCTCGGGTGCCCCTCTCCCTCGCATTCCCCATTATTAACAATCTGCGTTAGTGTGCTGCCAGGTGATGAACACAGATGAACATACTATTAGTTAGCTGAAGCTACCTCTAAGTTACACGAAAGTTCCCCCTGTGTTGAAGTCTTGTGGGCTTTGTCAAACTCATCATGTCATGTATCTGCCACTCAGGCACCCTCCGAGGGGCCCTCACAGCACTCCCCTAAGCACCGCGCATTCACGCCTCTGTTGCCTACCTGCCCCCATCCCTGATGGCCACTCATCGCTTATTGCTCTGCCTTTCCCTGATTTTACTTTTAAAAGAACAAAAATGCTATTCCACACCCCCCCCTTCATTAGGTAAATTAATTACACCTAACATTTCCATCTTTTCCTCTAGTGGACAACTTTTCTCAGAGAGAGATTGAGGAGTTTCTCAGTGAAGCAGCATGCATGAAAGACTTCAACCACCCAAATGTCATCCGACTCCTAGGTACCACAGAGAAACACAGCTTCTGGTAGTTGGGGGGGGAGGGGATGGCGGGACATGATTCAGCTAACCCCACTCTGTGCCAAAGGGAAAAATCTCTGGCTCAGAGAAGTTTGCATTTTGTGGACCCCTAAAGTAATTTATAACATTCAGTTTTTCACCCCAAAGACAAGCTGTTGCATTTAGTGGCTGAGAGTGAAAGTGGGCCTGATTGCCTGGACACCAGTGTGTCCGGGAATATTTAGAGAGCCCCAGAGTTTTAGAAGAGGCTGAATTAAAAGGTACTCCAGTCACTCAAAGGCAAAGCATGAGAGTTTGTCATTTTTATTGATTTGAGATTACCCATATATCCAGTACCACTGAACTAAATGTAGAAAAGTAGACAAATTCCACATGTTTTAAAGTATTGGTTTCTTCTACATTAATAATTTTACAATGATTTAACAGTCAGAGTTGGCTTTGTAGTTCTGTTAGCTAAACACAGAAGAAAAAAGCAGGTAAAGTGTGGTCACCATGGAAGTGTTACTATTTCAAGAGAGAAAAGCAATCTAAGAATGATTGAATGTTTTAGCCACTTTTTTATTGTTGCTGTTGTATAATGACTTGAAAATGTTAAAATTCATCTGAGAACTGTTAATGTTTTATTATGACAATGATACTCCAGAGAGATGTGAAAATTAGTATTTGGATACAGTATTATGTCCAAGAAGCAATTGTTAAACTTCTACTGCAACTCATGTTAGCAGACTGAGAACAATGGTACTTTGTAAGTGCCCCACAATGTGCAAGAGCTTTGCAAGCCTGTATCAGGTGACTGACACTCTAGCTCTAGAATTCCATGATAAATGGCATTGAGCTTTTTCCTGTTAAAATTGAGGGATGTGGATTTCACCTACTGTCTTTCAAAATTCTTTTCATCTTTTTAAGCATTCAGTTGCAGAGGAACTCTTCACATGATTAAGCATTTTACTGTCGCATGAAACTAGTTTGCACTTAAATTCTAAAGTGGTCTCTACCCCTAACTTAGACTTACTATAAGGAAAACTCTATGCGTTTCTAGAAGGGCTGCACTTAAAATTTGGGTGAATTTTGAGAGTTTTCATGCAATGGGGAATCTGAAGGAGAAAAATTTACCAAGTAGACACAGCGTTCTATATTGTAAAATACAGTGTTTGAGTTATAAGCCTTTGTTTTGTTTAGTTTTTTAACTGTTCATTCAGGAGCACATGGTTTTAATTTGGCCAGTGCCCCCGTCTGCCTTGCTGGTCAAATGTAACAAGGGCTCTTTGTAACTTGCTCTGTTTTTAATTTCAGGCGTGTGTATAGAAATGAGCTCTCAAGGCATCCCAAAGCCCATGGTGATTTTACCCTTCATGAAATATGGTGATCTACATACCTACCTACTCTATTCCCGACTAGAGACAGGACCAAAGGTAATGACCTCTGTACTGCCACTTACCAGCTCTCAGGCTTGTGCCACAATCTACCTCAGCACCTAGAAAAGTGGAAAGGAGGGAAAGAAAGGACGTTGACCTCAGTTCAGTCCTCACTGTGCACCCTGGGGGCTTGGATATGATATCTTTCCTTACAACAGGCCTGCTGGTTCGTCGTATCATTCCCTTTTTATGGGGGGTATGAAGCTATCTGGGAGCAGAGTCTCATGGCCTCACCTCAGTGCAACCAAGGTCCCTCATACTGTACTATCAGAGTGACCTCATCCTTTTGAAGTTTCCTCTGAAATCCCTGGATGCAGGTTTTGTTTTAGCTCCCCGAGGAAAGTTGCACTGAGCTCTTCCTCAGAGATGCTGAGGGTAAATGCAGTCCATCATCTTTCTCTTTACCATGAGCCCATCCATCCTCAGAACAGAAAGCATATTGGGAGTTGAGGGATCAGCATGCTTTCCTTCAGTGGTATCCCTAAGAGGGATGGTGACCCCACAGGTAAAACCTTGCCCTGAGGCCCCATAGCACAAGCTGAAATTAAGACCTTCGAATGCTGTTTCCAATCTGGGTGGCCCTCAGGTCACAGGTGATGAAAGGGCTGTCTTGAAACAATATTCACTAGATGGATGACTGTGGGGCTAAACAGGGAAAGTAAACTTTAAAAAAACTAGACCTCTTCCCGAGAGACAGGTAAATCTGTAGGAAGAGCTATTTTTTTATTTGATAAGGCAATTAAAAAAAAAAACTTGAGGGCCCTCCCTGGTGGCGCAGCGGGTTAAAGCACTGCACTAAGAAGCTAAAGCCACTTCCGTATGAGTTTGATTCCCGCCAGCCCCGGAGGTGACCACATGGCGTGGCAGACTTCTCCTGACCCGCCCGCTGCTCCCCTCATCAGTGTACTTCATCAATCTGCCTGTTCTGCTCCCCACTGTGTCTCTGGTAAAGCCTCTCACCACTCCTGCACCTCTGGCCTGTACCCCAGCTCTGTATGCACAAATAAGTAAATTAAAAAAAAACAACAACAACTTGAGACTGAACTTAGGGTAATCATATTCTGGAGCCTTCTTTCCCATGTCCTGCTGACCTTGTATGTTATAGACAGGGGAGATGTTTTTCTTTTCTTTATTAATTCATTTCTTTCCAGGGAAGGTATAAGTGATCTAAACAGAAGCACAACCCCTTACTTCTTCCAGTTCCCCCTGTGGTCCCATGCTTAGATGTATTTTTGTTCCCTTCTGTGTGGCTTCTTTTTAGTTGTTCACCAGAGACAGGAAATTGTAGCCACATCACAGAGTTATAAAATCACTGAGACTCCTTCAAAAGAGGGGAAGGGCTTAATTCCAAGCAGAGGACTCAGCAAGACTGAGCTTTTACCCTCCCTTTTCCTCCTACGAAAAAGGACAGAAATTTTACAGAAGCCTGGAAAAGGAGATAAAGTTACCCACAGTTTCCCAGTGGTCAGCACCGTCATTGGCACCTTCACACACTCACTTCCCAACCACTTGCTCCACACCCTACGACCTTGCAGGCTGCAGGTCAGCAAGAGTGGCTAATGTTCTTCAATGCTTTTAGGGTGGCCTATTTTTTTGATACATGAATGCATTAATGGCACAAGCACTCCAGAAAACAACTGTGAAGAGAATCTCAGATGAGGAAACTGAGACATAGATCAAGCAACTGGCCCTGGGCTGGAGGCCCCAGGCTTCAGGGCCCTGATTGTCTCAGCCCTGGGTGCCCCTGATGGCGTTTAGACAGGCAGCTGTGAGCGGAGGCCCACACCCTCTTGACTGGGCTTTTGTTCCATGTTGATGAAGAATTTTACTCACATTTAATTTTCTAGTATGCTGCATGATTTTTTTCTAATAATATTGGGAAGGATAGGGATTTCACATGGCACAAAGAGTGAATTCTGTAGTTTAAAAAAAAAAAAAAAGGCCCTCCCTGGTGGCACAGCGGGTTAGCACAGCACTAAGAATCTTTAGCCACTTCCGCATGAGTTCGATCCCAGCCTGCCCTGGAGGTGATCCACATGGTGCGGCAGACCTCTCCTGACACGCCCGCTACTCCCCTCAGCAGTGTACTTCATCAGTCTGCCTGTTCTGCTCCCCACTCTATCTCTGGTGAATACTCTCACCCTCCGCATCTCTGGCCTGTACCCCAGTTCTGTATGAATAAATAAATCTTTAAAAAAAAATACACGGGGCTGTTTGATGGCCAACAGTCATCTATTTTTACTTGTGAAGCTCAGTTCTGCTCCCTTTTTTGGATTTGTATGCAATTGTAGTGAGCCCAATTGGAGGTTTCTCTTGAAGTTTTGTAGAAGAGAAGAGATCATTTATTTTCTTTATAAAAATACTTGTCAAATTATAGGATAAAATTAACATCATATCCCTTTTGGGGGGACAAGTCTATGAATTTAAACGTATAGAGACTTATGTTCCCAACATCACATTTAAGATACAGAACAATTTCATCACCCAAAAGTGCCTCCTCTTGCTACCCCTTTGAAGTCTCATTGTGTCCCCATGCTCATTCTGATGTCCACTGAATCTGTTCCCCATCATTATAGTTTTGTCTCTTTGAGAATGGAAATGCATAGTTCTTAACGTGTTACACTAGCTTCCTTCATTCCACATGATGCCTTTGCGATCCATTCAGATTGTGGTGTGTGTCAACAGTGCATTCTTTTTCATTACTGTGTAGTCCCCTGTTGGATCAATATACCACAGTACGCTTATCACTCACCTGTTGAGAGACAGATGAGTTTTTGATAATTATTAGTGAAGTTGCTGTAAATTGCATGGATATGCTTTTCTCTGAACATAGTCCTTCACTTCTCTAGAGTAAATACCCAGACGGCTAATGCTATATCATGTAAAACGTGCATGTTTAACTTTAGAAGAACCTGCTGAACTATTTTCCAGAGTAGCAGTACTATTTTACAATCCCACCAGCAAAATGTATAAAGAATCAGTTGCCTTGAATCATTTGTATTAGCAGTAGTTTAATATTTGGTATAAATAGAAGTTAGGTTTTAGGAGGATGTTTTGGTTTTAAGTGGATGTATGTGTAATGATAGCTCATCACAGTTTTATTGTTTTTGTTACTGTAATGATTAATTCTGCTGAATATCTCGTTTTGTGTAAACACACATTTATATCCTCTTTGGCAAGTATTCAAGTTTTTGTTTAATTTTTAACTAGGCTATTGGTTTTCTTACTGTTGAACTTTGAGAGTTGTTTATAGCCTAAATACAACTCCTTTGTGGATCATGTAATTTCTTTGTGCAAAGATTTTTCTCCCAATTCCCTCGTCTTTGTATCCTCTCAACATGAACGAAATATTGAATTTTTACTAAGTGCAATATAGTTTTCCCTTATGTAGGCCATGTTTTCAGTCATGTCTACAAAATATGCCAAACTCCAGATGAAAAGATTTTCCATTCTCTGATTTTATTTTTTAAACTTACATCTATGACCCATTTTTAATTAATTTGTTGTGTCAAGTATGAACTTTAATATTTACTTATTGTACATTGATTACCAATATCATTTATGAAAGCTATCCATAATGCATTTAATTTCTTTTGTACCTTTGTCAAAAATCAGTTAGCTATATATATACTGGTCTCTTTTTTGAATCTTCTGTTCCATTCTACTCTTCTCCTTTGCTCCTACCATATTGTCTTGATTAGTTTAAGTTTTAAAATCAGGTGATGTGTTCTTCCAAATTTATTCAACTCTTTCAGGATTGGTTTAGCTAGTCTAGCTTTACTCCTTCCATATAAATTTTGGAATCTGCTTCTCTGTGTCAGCCAAAAGTACTGCTATCATGTTATGTTTTTTTAAACAAAATAACAATGAGTAACACCAGTATCCAGCATTTTATTGATTAATGAATAGTTTCTGTTTGCAGAAACCCAAGTATATCTTCAGTGATGGAAACAAACTCCCCAGTTTTATAATATAAAAAAGGATTTTAATATTTTGCTATTTTGTAGCCACGAGAAAAGGAAGGCTAATCACTGTCATTGGTAAAAAAGAGAATATGCTCTTGCCAAGCTTGAGGATCTGTTTTTCAGTCCCTTTTAAAACTTATTTGTGATACTGGTGACATAATATGAGAGGCTTGCTTCCCTGTTTACTACCACCCCTTTAAGAAATAGAAACACCATTCCCCCCTCTGACAAATATAACTTGCCAGGTTTTTCTTTTAAATAACGATCTCGTTTCTTGTATCTTCCATCCCCTAGCATGTTCCTCTGCAGATACTGTTGAAGTTCATGGTGGACATTGCCCAGGGAATGGAGTATTTAAGCAACAGGAATTTTCTTCATCGAGATTTAGCTGCTCGAAACTGCATGTAAGTGTCCTCACCTACCCTGGAAGGGTTGGATCTCCGGTATTTGATATTTTCAGGGTGGCCCATTGCTACTAAATATTGAGAGCTAGCTTTGGGAGGGAACAGTGTGGCTGGCTTCAAGATGGGGTTCCCATGGCTGATGTATGCCTGATTTTTGTTGGGATTTCACTGCCTCTGCCTCCAAGAATCTGGTTAGCCCCAGATTTTCTCCTGGGATTATTTTTTTGCTTTCACATTCTCACTCAGGAGTGCTGGGTATGTCTGTGTGATCCTTCCTTCCTGCCCTCAGCTAATTTGGACCTAGAGTTGTATGTCAGTCTGCTGATCATGCAGGTAGTAATTAAAACCTTAACAGTTTTTCCCAAGTTTTCATGGGGCTACCTTGTAAAGTTGGGTGTATGGCTTAGCTTTTCTTTAGCAGCAGAGACAAAGACTATACAAGAACTTGAATTTAAGCCCACCCCCCGCCCCCAACTCTTTGCCCTACCTCACCAGACCCACCCTCTGCTGTGAATCCTCAAAAGTAACTATTTCTTGATTTTAAGTTTACTATTAGGAGAGGAGGAAGTGTTCATTAAACATGGGGTTGTTAGTTGTTTTGCTTGGTTAGAGATGTGATATTAGGGCCTATGCCTTTATTCCTCCTAACCAACCTCACCGATCCCATGTCCCTGTCGCTTTCACTTTGTATATTGAAATCCAGAAGGGATTTTTTTAAAGAGGTTTTTTCCCCAATGGAGAGAAAATCATGAAATGCTTTTCCCCTCTAAATATTTCCTCCATGTTTGCCAGCATGTACAGTGAGTGACCATCAACCCAGTTAGCCCTGCATTGAACATGTTCCCTTCAGAACATGTTTCAGTTTTAAAGGTCAGTGTCAGGCAGACAGGGACAAGATAGTGACCTCTCCTCCAGCCCACTCTTGTCCTCCTCCTTGTCTAGAATCTGTTTTAATAGTTTGGGCTCTGAATGCAATTGTATCCCTTGATTTTTCCACTTAATTCCTCAAGTACTGCTTACCTATCTTTTAGAAGGTCCCGCATCTTGCTCTTCTAGTATTTATTTTTCCACCCTTCCAAACTCCCGGAAGACTTCCTTAATCCACAGGTCCATGCTGTTGCTTCCAAATACCAGGAAGAAGGCCACTGAGGTGCTGAAGGCGTCCCTGCTGTGAGCTGGTGCTCTGCCTGCTACCACATGTCTCCACCGTCTGTGTACACGTGTTCCCGTACAGCCCAAAGGGACACACATTACACTTCCTCCTTCCCCCTCGCTTGCTTTGTCGTTCATCCCAAACCAGGGCCCTCCCAGGCTGATTAGATCCACCTATCTTTTTGGTTACTTATCGTATTTGTTTCCAGCTGCATCTGAGGCAGACCTGTGAGTTCAAGTTCTGCCTCTGAGGCAACTCTTCTGACACAGCTGGAACTCACTCTTGAGTGTACACTGTAACCCACAAAAAGGATTCATTTGTAACTCAAAAATAAATATATAATAAAGTTTTCCCATGGAGGACATGAACCCTCTCTGTAGGTTGCGAGATGACATGACGGTGTGTGTGGCAGACTTCGGGCTCTCCAAGAAGATTTACAGTGGTGATTACTACCGCCAAGGCCGCATTGCCAAGATGCCTGTGAAGTGGATCGCCCTGGAGAGTCTTGCAGACAGAGTCTACACAAGTAAAAGTGATGTGGTATGTGCATGACTTTCATTTGGAGCCCCACCGTGTACAGATAAAAGTAGGCTGAAAGAAGTCACTGAAGTTGGTGTTGCAAGACATTTTACTCTTTGACAGATTTAGGGTTAAAAGCTTGTGTGCACAGTTTTTATTTATCACTATATATTTGGTACAGGTGGAACACTGCTTTCTGGCAGAGCAGCTTTATATTCAGAAGATCTGAGTTTTGCATAGATAAAGAGAGAGAGAGACAGAGGTAGAGAGATATCTCCTTAATGTGTCCCCATTTTTCTTTGCTACACAATAGTAAACATCACCTATAACACTTGTTCCCTTCCCACTTGTATTAATTTGAATTAGTTGATCTGATGACTCTTTGGAACCAAGATGCTAATTAAACAGTGTTGTGCAATCATGCCCTTCACCAGAGATTAGTTGGAGAAAACACTTGACAATGATGGAACAGAGCATTAAACAGAGTGTTGATGTAAGGCTCTCTCTGCCTTAGTCAAATTTCCCAAAACAGCTTTAATAAAAATGGGGGACTGAGATGCTCCGGCCCCACGTTATTGCCGGGTTGGAGAGAGCAGTGTGTCTCAGACATAATTGTCAGCTTTGTGCAGGATCATTGGGACTTTAAGGAAATGACCTTTCCTGATGAAAAAGTCCATTCAGCCTTTCTGAAAAGACTCGCGTCCTGACTCCCTGTTGCTTTGTTCACAGTGGGCATTTGGCGTGACCATGTGGGAAATAGCAACACGGGGAATGACGCCCTACCCTGGCGTCCAGAACCACGAGATGTATGACTACCTTCTCCACGGCCACAGACTGAAGCAGCCTGAAGACTGCCTGGACGCACTGTGAGTGAGCTGCCCATGGCTCGGTCCGTTGGCTCTGCAGAGACCTGGGGCACAGGATTCTCTTAGCCAGGGCGGGGGAGGGGACAAGGAAGGCAGCCGTGCAGACATGTGGACATGCGGACATCCGAAGGCCTTGCCCTCGGTGGAGGGGCGCTGTCACGTAGGATGACAGCACGTGTGTTGAAAGCTCTTTAAGCACGTCTGACTTTATAGTGCATGAGCTGATGGAGGGAGCACCCACCCTCTTCTGCTGCAGTGAGCCTCTTTCTGTATACAGCATTTCAAACACGCCAATCCCGGAATATCTTGAATCAGGAAATTTGGAAATCTAAGCCAGGACTTTGAGGTCAGGCTGGTCATCAGAATTGCTGGGGGGCAGGGGATGCCTGGAGGTTGTGGTTATGTTGGTACACAGTGGGCCCAGAAATGGATGTTTTAAAATGCTCCCTGGAAGACTGGGCTCTGCCAAGCTGGCTCCCCAACTTCCAGGGTGTAGGATCCCAGGGCACAGCCCGTCCTGACAGGCCCTCTCTGTCCAGGGTGGGCAGGGTGGGGAGGTCCTGGGCCTTGGAGCCTGACATGCCAGCTTTGCTCCCTAACTAGCCATAGGCCTGACCATCACAGCTGATGTGACCTCTCCCTGCCTTGTTAGCAACCACCTATATATATATATATATGTTATATGTCAGCATTCTTCGCAGAGGCATTTGAGGAGCTAAAGGACTACGGGGTTCTCAGCCTGTAGTAGGCAAGCAGAGTAAGTGTTCACATAATGGTGCCAGTTAATGTGGAGTTATTATAGATCAGTCTCCCCAGTCTGGCTGACCTTTTAAAACTTAAGTTGTGTGGTACTATCCCTGGCTTGGTGATTTGAACCTTCCAAATGGGGAGCCTCTGCCCAGCGTGAGAGATGGGGGACTTGGATAGGGTGACTTTCGTCATATTTAGCAAGAACATTTCAGATCTGTGGGCCCTCCCAGGTTCCGTCATGGAAGGGCAAGCTGGAGTGCTGAGCCACATGCAGACTGTCATGGCACACGCGTGTCCACACCCATGCACACACACACACACACATAACACCCATGCGCACTCATTACAGCAGTGGTTGTAGTTGTACATCTATAACATTAAGAACAGAAAAAATAATGTAAGCTCTTTAAAAGCATGGTGAAACCCTAATTAAATTAGATCTGGGGTTTCATGGTCATTTTTTAAAGGACCACATGAATGAGATGCTTGCTTTGAACATGAGAAAGCCATTTCAACCAAGCAATGTTGAATTTCGAAGCACTTTGTTGCCATTTCTTTCTTAGCTTCTCTTATGCACCAAAAGAAGTTTATGTTTGCAGTGATCATCATGGATCTTACCATGATCTAAGCTGTGTCATGTTGTGGTTTTTAGTTATTTCATACAGAGTTCAAGGAGGGACTCTTCTCGAAGAGGAGAAGTGGTCAGGCCTGGTCCCCACACACAGGGCTGCTCTCTGGGCTGTGAGGAGCCAGACCTCCTGCTCCCCCAACCCCTTGGACAGGGCCTGGTGAACAGCAGACCACCAAAGAAGGCCCATGTGTTTCCATATCTTTCAGATAAGAAACAGATACTTCTGAGCTTCTCATGTATGTTTGCTGTCTATGTTTAGTTGACATGAGTTCATTCCTATATTTAATTACCCCTCCATCTTTTTTTTTTTTTTAAGATTTTATTTCTACATACAGAGCTGGGGTACAGGCCAGAGGTGCAGGGGCGGTAAGAGGATTCACCAGAGACAGAGTGGAGAGCAGGACAGGCCAACTGTTGAAGTACACTAATGAGGGGAGCAGCGGGCGGGTCAGGGAGGTCTGCCGCACCATGTGGGTCACCTCTGGGGCAGGTGGGGATCAAACTCATGCTGAAGAGGCTTTGGCTTCTCAGTGGTGTGCTTGAACGCGCTGCACCACCAGGGAGGGCCCCCTCCATATTTTTTTTTTTTTTTTAAGATTTTATTTTATTTGTGCATACAGAACTGGGGTACAGGCCAGAGGCTCAGGGGTGGTGAGAGGCTTCACCAGAGACAGAGCGGGGAACAGAACAGGCTGATTGACGAAGTACACTGCTGAGGGGAGCAGCGGGCGGGTCAGGAGAGGTCTGCCATGCCATGTGGTCACCTCCAGGGCAGGCGGGAATCGAACTCATGAGGAAGCGGCTTTAGATTCTCAGTGCTGTGCTTTAACCCGCTGCGCCACCAGGGAGGGCCCCCCTCCATATTTTTAAAGTCACCTGTAAGAACCTTTAAATGACAGAATGCAAGGGGCCCTCCACTTCAGTCCTGCCACTCAGAGGGCCATGTCTTCTCACATCTCACTCCCCGTCCAAACAGTCAGGCCCAAGAGGCTACTCTGTGTGATGCCCCTGTTGCCAGCATGGGCCACTGTCTCAGCTCACATGGTCTCCCAGCTGTAGCCTCAAGATACGTCTCACCAGCTGACCATCCACAGCACTGGTTCTCATTCAGTGCTATACTTGAGTCCCACCTTCTTTTTTTGTTCATTTGGGTCCGATCAGTCAACAGATACACCCTTCAGCCCCCTTCCCTTGGCTCCACCCCTAAAATCATCAAACCACAGAGCCCAGAGCTGGGCAGGTCTTGGGTCACCTTCCCACCCCCATCACACCTGTAGAAATATAGCAATGACATCACAGTGTACATAGGTGAATGGGCAGGTCAGGGCTAGTGCTGTTTCCTACAAAATAGTGAAACATGGCCCTTTTCTCTCTGTTCCTGTTCTCATCATCCCAAGGTTTGGTTGGGTGGCAACCAAAGCAATCTTTCTAGAGTTTGCTCAGAGGATGTAGTTAAAGGTAATATTTCGGTGACTCTTCATTGACTATCAGGTACCAACCCAGCACATCTGGATCTGACCCTTGGCAGGCAGGCGGCTGAGTAGTTAAAAGCATTGGCTAAGACGCTAGAGCCCCATGATTTGGTGCTTGGCATCGCCCTCATCCTGGGGCAAAGAACCCCCTCTCAGGGTCGTCTTCTGTAAATGGGAGTCACGGTACCTGTATGGCAAGGCTGTTATGCTGATTGAGATACTTCCACCTATAACACACCTCATGTGATGGCTGTTGAATAGGAAACCCAAGCAAAAGATTGGCAACTGTTTTATTCTGCGAAGGTCACAGACAAGAGCAGGGGCCCTGGTGTCTCAGAGATGCTGCCACTGACAGTGAGTGGGACTCAGATCATCCCCTCTCTTCTCCGAGCTTCAGCAGCCCTGTCTGGGAGAGGAATGTATCTCATCCCTGCTGCAGCTGCTGCTGGTTAAGCAACCTCAGTTGGCTGAGGCACAGCAGGCTATACACGGCCAATGCCGGCCCAGAACCAGGGGCTCCCACAGGCTGAGGCTCACCTGCCATGTCTTAATACCTCCCTCTTTGTCCCCCTGCCTCACCACCCCAAACCTAAGGAACCTCCATCTGGCCTCCCCACACACACCTGACCACCCTCACACCTGATGCCCCTCCACTTGGCCTCCCCACACACATACCTGACCACCCCCACACCTGATGCCCCTCTCCTTGGCCTCCCCACACACACACCTGACTATCCCCACACCTGATGCCCCTCCACTTGGCCTCCACATACATACATCTGACCACCCTACAACAACCTTGGTATATCATACACCATGGCTTCCCAAGGCCGCTCCTGACTCCTGTCTGCTCTGAGGACAATAGCTGTCACCTACTTTCCCCCTCAGAAACCCTGCTCCACTTATTCATCAGTCCCTCCACTTCCCACCAAGGTAACCCAGGCTGAGGAAAGGAGAGTCTCCTGGGCTGAGTGGCGGAGCTGGGCTCAGGCCCTGACCAGCACTGTAGAGATGCCGAGCTCCGTGGCATTCGCCCCAGGCACACCTGCATACTGCACTCGGTCCTCTGAGGAGCCGGGAGTGGAGCCCATGCTTGGCCAAGCTGAGTACGTTCATGCATTTATAAATGTGTGTGACTATGTATTTCAAGCAATTATGGTCAAATTACATAAAATAAAATGTACCTCTGAACCGTTTTTAAGTTCCGTGGTGTTAAGCACATTCACATCGCTGTACAGCAACACCCTTCCATTGTCACGACTCTTTAGCCTCTAAGTCAGAAACTGTCCCTTTGAAACACCTCCCCTACTCCCTAATGACTATATGGTTTCATCTTATATGAAGTATCAACAGAAAACCAAAGAACCACTTACAAAGGCAACTACCAAATTCCCCTCTCATAAATATTGAAAATAAGAGAAAAATAAATTCCAAGGCTGTATTGTTCCTATGTTATGTGGGGAAAAAAAGATTATTTAAGTGCTTTTTCCTAAGACTCAGAATAGATGGAAGTAAGTTAACTAGTACAGCACCTTGATGGAATAATGAAAGTACTTTCTAAGGATAGAACTTCTCAAAGCTCCTCTCAGACTGAGAACAATCAAGGCCCTGTAGGGAAAAAGGAAGTCATGCAAATTGATTTATACAAGGAGAACCTCAAAATTAGAAACAGAAATTGTTTGCCAAGTCTTAGAGATCATCTGATGAAGTTAAAAGAACTGCTAAGTCTGCAGTCCAGGTGAGAATCAGGATTATGAGACGGGGAAACGTGACCCATGTTTGTGGTCAACGCATCAGATTTACGAAGTCCATGTTCCAAAACATGTGCAAGTGCTGACAAAAACTTAAAAAATGAATAAATGTATCAAGTGCCATGTTAGAATTAACCAAAGAACTTATGTGGTGTAATTAAATGTGAATATAGGCACTATATGTTTACATTCATAAGATACCCGTAATCTACTATATGTGTCAGATGATTAAATTTGGATCATTTTGTTATCCCAGGACATAATATCAGTTTCTTCAAACAGGAAAGAATCCAAATGAAATTATGGCATAACTTACACTTTGTCTCTATCAAGTGGTTCCTAATTCAGTCCTCTCTGTTTAATTGTGTTAACATAAATGCCCATTGTCATTCTTAACTATATTGGATGTTGGAATTGGAAGAAACTACCTGGAAGAGGGGTCTCCCTGGTGGCGCAAGGGGTTAAATCTCAGCACTATGAAGTAATCTGCAGCCACTGCAGGATGGAGTTCAATCCCCAGCCAGGGAGGTGACCTATATAGCACAGCAGACCTCCCTTGTCTTGCCTGCTGTTCCTCAGCAGTGTATTTCAGTAGATCCACCTGTTCTGCTCCCAGCTCTGTCTCTGATGAATCTTCTTACCCTCCCCCACCACCATTCCTCACCCCGAGTCTGTCCCCCAGCTCTTGTATGCATAAAAATTTGTTAAAAAAAAGAAACAATCTGGGCCCTCCCGGGTGGCGCAGCGGGTTAAAGCACTGCATTGAGAAGCTAAAGCCACTTCCGCATGAGTTCGATTCCCGCCTGTCCCGGAGGTGACCACATGGCGTGGCAGACCTCTCCTGACCCGCCCGCTGCTCCCCTCAGCAGTGTACTTTGTCGATCTGCCTGTTCTGCTCCCCACTCTGTCTCTGGTGAAGCCTCTCACCGCCCCTGAGCCTCTGGCCTGTAACCCAGTTCTGTATGTATAAAAAAAAAAACTTTAAAAAAAAAAAAAAAGAAACAATCTGAAAGAGAGGGCCATCCCTTCACAACACAGCAGTATAGGGGTCATGAGGAGCACCAGGAAAAGTCTTATACTGTCCCCCGCTTTTCCATGGCCATGACATGTTCTGTGAGGTCCCTGAGTCTGCTCTCATTTTTACTACAAAACCACAATGACGGGGTTGCTGAGATTACATACAGCGACACACACGAAACACCTAGCACAATGACGCAATTACCCTTCATTTTTCCCCTCTCCTCAAAGACTGGCCTCCTTAGCTCCTGCCCTGAGCCCCTACTAACTCAGCTCTCCCTGTAACAAACCCAATTTGGTGACATAGAATAGCACACTTCCTCTGTAAAGTGCCAAATATTTTCAGTTTTGCAGGCCATGTGGTCTCTCTAGCAACTACTCAACCCTGCCATTGTAGTGAAAGTAACTGTAGACAGTATGTAAGCAAGTAAATGGAGCTGTGTGTTCCAATAAGATTTTATACCCCTACTAGATGGTCAACTGGGTTTGCCCATGGGCCATAGTTGGCCAACCTCTGGTCTAAGAAAAAGGATCTATTTGCCAAGTTAGATCTAATTGTCACATATGTTCTTTATTCCTAGAGACAGGATCACTTGCCACATACCCACGGAACGTTTTTAAAGGTTAAATATTATGCCATAAGGAAAACCTCAGTAAAAAATTTCCCAAAAGTAGAATGAGAACAGATGAAAATGTGATCAAATCCAAGCTTAAGTGAGAGCAAGGCCTGACTTGCCCCGAGGGCCCCAGTGTGGAGCCAGGAAATAACGCCCTTTACCTTATTCGTAGGTATGAAATAATGCACTCCTGCTGGAATGCTGAGCCCTTGGAGCGACCCTCCTTTTCAGTGTTGAAGCTGCAGTTAGAAAAGCTGTTGGAACTTCTACCTGAGGTTGAGGACAAAGCAGATGTCATTTACATCAACACTCAGTTTCCAGAGAGCTGTGAGGACCTGACAGCAGACCCTGTCCTTGAGCGGCTGGACATGGACATTGACCCTGACTCCATCATTGCTTCTTGCACACCCAGCGCCACCATCAGTGTGGTCACAGCAGAAGTTCACGAGAACACGCTTCACGAGGGAAGATACATTCTGAATGGGGGCAGTGAGGAGTGGGAAGATCTGCTCTCTGCCACCCCGGAGACAGCAGGAAAGGACAGTGTTGGACTAGAAGACAGACCTGTGAGGAATACGGCCTGCTGGTCCCAGGCCAGCACTCTGCCTTTGAGGAGTCTGTCTCCGGATGAACTTCTGTATGCTGACGACACCACAGAGGACTCAGAAGTCTGAGGAGAGGGGAGCTGAGAGATAGTCCCCACCAAGCAACTTGTTCTGCTTTAGGAGAATCCATGTGTGCTTGGTGTTTTTGGTATTTGTCTTCCCTGCCAAGTAAGCACCATGGTTCAAAAGCACCAGATGAATGTTATCAAGTCAGGCATCATTAAAAATGCGTAATATATATTTATTGAAAGAGAAATATATGTGTGTGTATATATGGTGGAAACAGATTTTTATATTTTAATAAAAGATGACTTATTCCATTTCATTTACCTTGCTGACAATAAATTTTAAGCTTGAACAGTTTTATCTCTACAGCAATTCTCTGATGTTAACATTTGCAGAGTCAATTTTTTTTAAGTTCTTCCCTTTTTCATGACTATGTAATGTAAAAATATTTGTAAAATGACGCCAGATTTGACTTTGCTTCTGGTTTTATGAAAAATCTGATATCACTACACTGAGAAGAATGATTTGTTTGTTTAGTATTTAAAATTTTATAACTGGTTAATTCTTTGATATGATTTCATAATAAAATATGAATGAGAATGATGTCATTCTTACTTGACACTTGGAAGACAGTGGTCACTGGCAGCCATGGTGCCTTTGCAAAGGAACTCCCTTAACATCTGGCCCTTGCATGTGATTGCCCTGACCATTCCTGATATCGTGTTTTAGAGCTACAGAAAAACCACTGTAGAGTGTCCAAAGATGAAGAGCAAAAAATTATTAAGGGATTGAAAAACACATCTATGTGAAAATATTTAAAATCAGTGTAGAAGAAGGGCTGACGGCAAACACTTCAGTTGGGTGGGCAGGATGCAGAACTAGTGTCAGCACTCAAGAGCCACATCCTTGCTTCACTGCTGAGCAAACAGCCTTGTGTGTGAGCCCTTGCTATGTTCCAAGCACTTTATGTGAACTGTCTTGTTCATTCTCTCCATCACTACAATGGGTCCCTATGCCGGTAACATGTATGGGCCACACAGCCCAGGCTGGACAGATAGAATAACCCGCGATGACCTGCATCTAGAGAGGCAGAGCAGAATTCAGAAGCAGTCCGATTCTAGCTGGTGTTAAGCATCTGGTCTGGAGATCAGTTCAAGAGCCTCTTAAACTTTTAATTTTATGTATAGACTCACTGGTATCAGTATATGCTAAGTAGGGCACTCCTTAATCCTCAAAACAACCCGAATTAGGTAAGTGACTCAATCATTTCCACTTCACAGATAGGCAGACTGAAGCAAGAGGCTGATAGAGTCGGCTGAAGTGTAGAGTTCTCAGTCCTCAGAGTAGCCTCACAGGCCCAGGACTGATAGGGCCTAGGCAGGGCAGATCTGGTAAGACACTCTGTGTTTTATATTAGGAAATCTGCACACACATATTGTTTGTGGCCTGTCTGCTCTAAGTTAATTTTCTAGCCCAAGGACACTCTGGAAGAGTGCAAGGAGCAAGTGAAATCTGAAAACCGGACTCAGCACGCTGGAACAAGCATGAGGTCATGTGTCCAGTAAGACGACAAGGAGCTCCAGGAGCTGAATATCACAAGCTCCTGACACCAGTCAAGGCCTGTTTACTACTGAACTATCTTTGTTTAACTCATTATAAAAAGACAGCTAGAAATGAAAGGTTAAGGTGATTTCTACTTAAGTTGTTAGACCCCCCTCCACCCTGTCTTCCAGAAGGCCAACTGTGACCAAAGCACACCTTAAAGATTCAATTCCTGTCTCTTGGCATTCAGTGGTGACAGGTGGCCTGAACTCCGGTCTTCTGGTTACAAAGCCACTGGCATCTCCCCCGCCTGTGAGCAGCTCCATGGAGTGCCCACACAACCTAATCTAGTTGCCAGCCCAAGTGTTCCAGCTTCCAGGGAGAGCCAGATCCACTGTGCCTGTGAAATGTTCCATCAGAAAGGTTATGAGGTTTGAAAAGAATCTGCATTGTTAGGAGAAATGCCAGCATTACATTTTATCAATGAAAGAAAGGTTGTTAACCTATAAAAATAATTTCTACTGATGAAAACATTTGCATAGTTGTTTAAAAAAAAATCCGTTAAGGGCCCTCCCTGGTGGCGCAGTGGGGTAAAGCACAGCACTGAGAATCTAAAGCCGCTTCCTCATGAGTTCGATTCCCGCCTGCCCCAGAGGTGACCACATGGCGTGGCAGACCTCTCCTGACCCGCCCGCTGCTCCCCTCAGCAGTGTACTTCGTTGATCTGCCTGTTCTGTTCCCCGCTCTGTCTCTGGTGAAGCCTCTCACTGCCCCTGAGCCTCTGGCCTGTACCCCAGCTCTGTATGCACAAATAAAAAAATAATAAAAAAAAAATCAGTTAAAAATGTATATTTATGGAGCCTCCCTGCTGGCACAAGGGGTTAAGATGCAGCACTATGGAGCTATTGGCAGCCACTGCAGCATGAGTTCCAACCATGCTGGAACCGGCCAGGGAGGTGACCCACATGACACACAGACCTCTCCTTTCTCCCCCACTGCTCCCCTCAGCAGTGTATTTCAGTAGATCTGCCTGTTCTGCTCCCCACTCTGTCTCTGGTGAGTCCTCTTACCCACCCACCCCCACTTCTGGCCTACACCCAGAGATCTGTACATAAATAAATATTTTTAAAAATGTATGCTTATGCAAACAAAGTTACTTATTGATGGTGATGATCAAAAAATTTAATAGCTCATCTCTGACTGGATCAAACAAACCAAGGTATAGTCACGTATACAAATTTGAAAAGCTATTAAATTTCATATAGATTTAATATTAAAAACCTACATTAGTAGACTTTGTGTTTCACATTTCTAATTTTAATTATGGAACATAAAATACATAATGAACAGTTCATTGAGGGCCCACAGATGCAGTCCAATTTGCTCAGTAATTTTCATGTGGCCTAAGGGGTGGGAGCCTGCCAGAGGAGAGTAAGTGAATGAGTTGTGGCTTGTGGCTTTTCTTGAAACAACAACAAACAGCAGAGAAATTCACTTCATCTCACCCATTGCTTGCTCCAAGGCATTGGTTAAAAGTGGCATGATGAGCAGTGTTTTCTCACCCAGCTCCCTACAACCAAGAGGAGAAGAATGAAATGGACTACCAGTTTTCAGACATGTCTGTCTTCTCGCTGAGAACCTTGGGATCACAGTGTTTGACTTAGCTTTGTTTGAATATTTGAAAGTTTTAAAAGAACTAACTTTGGCAAACTCTTGTCCAGTCTTCTGAGCAGGAACTGAAAATAGCCCTTCAAGTTTTTCCTTTGTATAAACTCAAAGTGACTCGTAAGGGCAAAAAGTGGGGAAGAGAAACAGGAAGAAACAAGTCAGGTCATTGTCTTCTGTGGCCCTGGGAGGACTGGGCTGGGGCTGGTTAAGAGGGCAAGGGAAGTAAACAAATGCCAGAAATACTCGTGACCTCCAGGTTGAGACCAGCTCTGCCTTGTGACGGTCTTTCTTTGTCTTCCTTCTTTCCTTTTTTCTTTTTCCTTTTTCTGGTCTTTCTTTCTGAGTAGAGACAAAATGAGTATCAGGGCCCCAGAGCCCCAGCTAGGGGCCAGTACTAAAGGCTGAACAGGAATCAGTCTTATGAGCGCTGCCTGGGCAATTCTGAACATGAGCCTCGGCTGCCCGATAGCCAGGGAAAGGGCATGGGAAAGGCAGTGAGATCTCTGCTGCAGCCCCTCTCCTGCAGCCCCCAGTGATTGTGTAGGAAGGGAAAGAGGCACAGTTTTTGAAAGAACTTTATACTTGCTAGAGGCTTTTTCCAATTAGAGGAGTCTCCCCATTTCATTTCTTATGTAGTGCAATCTCCCTATTTGTCATATTAGAAATATTTCCCTGGTTATGTTATCAGCTCCCTCCAAAAGAATGAAAACTAACTCAAGTACAAAATAAAAGAATTCTATCTATGTTTATTATGCAGTTAAGGCAGTTGATAGAATGGCTGCTGGGGGTAAGTCAGAAGGGGGTAAAGCCCTACATATTGGTGCCCAAAGGAATCTCTCCTACCAATCTCAACCCAGAGTTTAGTGACATGTGAACCTCAGTGCCCAAATATGGGTGATGGTGAGCAATAGTAGCTATCTGGACAGGACCAGGGAACACGAGGTGGGTCAGATTGTGCTCCAGGGAGAGGGGATTCTCACTTTGCCTTCTTGTCCCCCAGATTCAGCAGTTTCCTCAATCAGGAAACAGGCCAAATAACAGTCTCTTATCTTTTGAATCAAACTGATTCTGTCCAGACTAATTATGACTCATAAAAGTCAAGATCCTTGTAACTTCTCCTGGTCAATGGCAAAAGCAATTTAGGACTTCTGCTGAGTCAATGGGGAAATGACTCCAAAATAATGTAGCTATGACAGCAACTTAACTTCTCGAAAGGCATTTAGTTGTCTTGGGCAACAAATGTAAAAACAGGAAGTTTTGTTTCATTTAGTGAAAATTTCAGTAATGTACACTTGTTTCAAATTTAGATTTTTATCTTCTCTCTTTTAAAGTTCTGAGTAAGAACAGAAGTAAAATTGTCATTCCACTATCTTGAAACAGCATGTCTAAATTACTCAACTTATTGATATCTAAATGTCATGAGTACTTCTAAAAATTATAACCCAAAGACCACTACTTTACAATATTTTCATGTATCATGACTTTTATTGAAATGGGCTTCCATACTTAGATATGTGAAAGAAAACTTGAAATTCATATAGTTTCAGTACACATATTCTTATCTTTTAAGAACACAATCAGTTTAAATTAATTAGTGGATTTAATCAGACTGCACAATTACAAATCCTAATCCAGAAAGTTCTTAAATAACAGTCACATGAGGACAAATGCAATCAACTCATTCCTTCACTAACATTTACTGAGAAGAAGGCTGTTCTAAACAATGGGATCTTTCAAAGGACAGCAATCTAGAATAACAATCTTGAAGAGTGAACACATGGTTTCAAATGAATACTTTCTTTTACAGAATTTTCCTCAGAATACTCTGTCTTACACATTTTGTTGACTAACACCACAGCGAAGTGGATCAGCCAGCTCTGCAGGTCCTGTTTAGACTCAGCAACAAAGCTCAAAGCTAGGGATCCAGTCAGAGTGTGGCTCCTAGTCTGGAAGCAGACTCTTGGAACTTGCCTCACAGGATTGACAAGAAAAGGACTAGCAGCTGGAGCTTGAAGACCAAAATTCCATTCTATTGAGCAGCTCAAGGGAATGCATGCTGCTTCTTTATAAGTACTTATGACTTGCTTTAATAAACAAAAACAAAAGATGGGTAGCTAGCCTCCCAGATTAGCACTTTCCTCAACCAGGAGACACACCTAGTTGAGACTTTTTATTCCAGGTCTTTTAATCCTTATACTTCAGATTACATTATCTCTAATGATTTGTCTTCAAGATTGCTAATTATTGCTTTTGCCAGTTTATATCTGCTGTTGAACACTTCCCAGTGAGTCCTTCTCCCAGTAATTGTATACTTCCAAATATAGAAGTGCCAAT